ATGCGAAATCGTGCAAAGTGTCTGTAAACATTTATTTCAAAAATTTATGAATATTGCTCTCGCTCGGCAAAGGCAGCGGTGACAAACAACAATTCCTTTCGCCATTCGCCAACCCCCTCGTATCCTCCCCCTCATATCCACCCCTTCATATCCTCGGTCCCATTCGGCTTTGAAATTGTTCAGGCAATGGCATTGTTTACCCGCTTTTCTCTGTGTGTATATGTGTGAGTTATTGTTTCGAGACATGATATTTTACTGTTTTGTTATGGAATTCAACAGGGTATAGCCAGCAGACCCTCCCAGCCATGCAAATACTATATTTAGCGCATTAAAAAAAAACCTTTAAAAGTATCACTTTTTAGAACTAAGCTTACTTCGTCACTAGTTTTAAGTTGTAAGTATTTAAGTCTCTCTTATAAAAATAGTACGTGAAGATTTATCACAGAATTACTAAATGGCAGTCAAAAAATTTTGATTGATTTAATCAAAATCTATATAATTCAACATTAAAAAACGGCAAGTAGCAAATATCACCCAGAACAGCTTGTCATAAAAATCTAAAAATATGTAAAGTATAAAGCTAAAATTGTATATAGAATACTAGCCCCTTTTATTATGTTTTATTTGTACTACATTTATTTTTAAAATATTTAAGTTTTTTCTTGACTTTGTCTTGGAATGTAGTTAGGATTTTTAATATCCATTCTGGTTTTTTTCTGGTATTGGCAGCAAAAACAAATAGTTAAATATAAGGAGAGGCCAATCCAATTTGTTTAAAATGTCAAAAGTTGTTTAATGCCTGGATGCATTGGTTATCCTTTCGGTTGCTCAACACCTAATTGTTGTTTTCAACTATTCCAGTTTTCCGTAGTTGGATCATTAGAGGTTTTTCTGTTTTCCGCACACGAGGAATCCGAATGTCGGGAAATAGTTTTCCCCTTCGTTTTTCTTTGCCACTCCTTTTGCGTTCCCCCCCTTTCCTCTCCGTTCCTTTTTCTTTTTCTTGTTGCGTAGCGCATTACAAATGACAGCCGCCTGTCACACACACATGTGCAGGGGGGAAAGCCACACACACACACACTACACACACAAAAAGAAAGCCACACAGACAGGCACACGTGTTTGAGTCGTGCCATACATACATGGCCATTAGTGTTGTGTTGTTGTCGTTATCATGCACAAAAAAAAGTTGTCGTCTCTGCTTAACTTTACGCTGCCTTACTCCACTTTACTTGTAGGTCTTCCGAAGCCCCCTTAACACCCAACTGTCCCACGGCCTTAACCCCCTATTACCCAGTTTTTGCCACACTGCAAATCCTTTTTTTTATTGCCTGCGAAATTCTAAGAAATCTTATTTTTAATCCACAAAAATTTTAACCTTTTAAGATTTTAGAATTAAACTAAACATATTATTTTTATAACTATTGAATAACTTTGATATTTTGTTTTTCTGTTTTTATTATAATTTTTTAATGCAGCCAGTAATGTTAAACAAAATCAAATAATCTTAAACAAATTTAAAATCTTAAAACATTTATTTCATTTGTCCAAATGAGAGCAAAACTAAACTTCTGTAAATCAAGTCAATTACATTTTTCTGAGATTTAATTTATAAGTCAAATAGCTTATACATTTTTTCATGAGTTACCATTTTTAAAAACGAGGGTAGTTTTTAAGACTTTTTCAAATAGTTTCGCCCTGTGTTTTTGCTCTCATCCTTGACAAGTGCTGGTCAGAATTTTCGGTAGGAGAAACTTTAGTTGGTCAGCCAAGTGAATTACAAGCTCAGCCCTTAACCCCCAACTCACACCTTGTTTTTGCCGGAATTTTCTCGCTTTTCCGTACCCAACCCGCACATTCCGCCTGTTAGTTGTTATTTAATTATCATTTTTCATTCTTGTTTCGGGTGTGGAAAATGTTGTCATCGCACATGTTTGGAGAGCTTCGGGATTTGGGGGTCATAGGTGAAAGGGGGCGGGGCTTAAAAGGGGGGCCTTGATCCATCTGGGAAACTCTTGTCTGGGAGTATTTCGGGAAATCTTTTGTGTTAGCCCGCCCAGTATGCAAACCCAGTTTGCAAATGCAATTATAATTTCATATTTCAATTCGACTACAGTGCGGAACATAATGGAGAAATCCGGGGTTTATTTTTGGTGGCGAAACACGTGGAAATTCGGCAGGGGAAAATAGTTAAATTTCGAATTTTCAGGTAGGTATTTTTAATGTTTACTTAGGATACAACCTTTTATTAAATCTAATTTATTAAATTGAATATGAAATACCTTTTTTGTTTAACCATTTTTTACTTAACAATTTCTCTCATATATCTCATAATTTTTTCACTTTTTTAATTTTTTCTCTTTGCCTTGCGTTTGTCATTTTTCAATTTCCTATTCTTTTTGAATTTTCCTTCGGCACTCCGGTTTTCTTCGCGTTAATCGATTTTTCATTCTTAATTTCTTGTCTTCATCGACCATTTTTCAATCACTTTTTGGTACTTTCGCTTTCGATTTTCTTTTATTTAATCGTTCTATTTTGTTAGCCATTTTCTCAGCTGTTTTTGGGCCAATGGAAATATCCTTGAATTACAGTACATATATAATTTTGGTTGCTTTTCCTTACATATCATTATGCAAATGAACCAAAAATATTTGCCAAAGCAACGCAAACGTAAACAAATTTTATTATTATATTTTTGTCATAAAAACCCAAGAAAAAAACAATGAAATGTCAACTACAATCAATTTTTGGCCCAGGACACTCCACACCTTTTGAGGCGTTGACGAAAGGGTTTTCCCCGCTCGATTTTTCCCATTTCCTTGAGACTTGGCGAACATTTTAATGAGATTTTCGAATTCCAAAGAAATTCAAAACGTAGCTTATTCAACTTTTTCTATGTGTGTGTGAGCCACACTTTCTTTCTTTCCCTAAGTGTGTGTGTGTGTGTTGGGGATATTTGTATTTGTGGCAACAGGCAACAAGCCAAGTTAATTAGCAAAAAGCAGATAGCGTCACACAAAAAAGGAGCAACCAACTAAGGCCATCTTAAGGTCTGATTGAGCAAAGTGGGTGAAAGTGGATGAAGAGAGGGGATAAGGGGGTAAAAAGGGGTTGAAAAGGGGTGGCGGGAACGAAGGCCAACACAAAAATGGAAGGTGGCTGCTGAATTCTGCGGAGACCTCCACTTAAGTGCGGGTTTTTGATGTCGGCGCAAATTGCAAAGAAAATGATTTATTATCTGCAAAAGGCAATTAAGTAAAATTGCTTGAAAATTATTTGCACCCCTTCCTCCAAAAGAAAAGGAAAACAGAAGCACAACCAAAATAAACACAAGTGACAGCAACTCTTTAGGCCAAAGCCCAAATAAATGAAAAACGAAAAACAATTGGTGAACTGGTGGTCTTTCAATTATATTTAAATAATAATAAAATAAAAATTATAATTTAACAATAAATACATTTCAAATAAAATATTTCCATGATATTTAAATACATTTTATTTTCAACAAATTTTAAGAAAAACTTTTAATTTGTTCTGAAAAGTACATAATAAATATCAGAAAATTTTGTACGTTTTCAACAAATATTAAAAACTGTTTACAAACTTTTTCCTTAGACACCAACAATTAAATGGTTTTTGACTTAGTTTTCACCATTTGTTTTCAAAACTATTTTTTCGCATTACCAAAAAAACAATTTCAACAATTATGGCAAAACTAAATTCCAATTAAGCGCAAAGTTTTTTACGATAACTATTTTACATTCATTAAAAAGTTAACACGTTGGCAGCCAAAAAGTTTGGTTGAATGCGATAGAACCCAAAACAAAAATCCAATATAATTTTCAGCATATGTTACTATGTGCTTAAATTGTCCCCCAGTTGGGAACAAAAAGTTGAAAATTTGAAATTTGATACACTTTATTTGCCAGCAGAATTATGTATCCTTTTGTCCAGATTTTCAGGCGACTTTAAAATGTCTTTGCATTTCAAATTGGAAGCACCGCCAGAAAGGAACTCACCTTCCGCCTCGGTCCTCTAATTCCACCGCTCATCCAACATGATTTATAAGTCGAATTAGAAAGAGCCACACGACGGGCAGGAACAAGAGTGAATTAATTACGAATTCAAGCCCGAAGAGGTAATTAATTCACTTCATTTTCTTCCCCAGCAAAGTTGGCTAAAAACCAAACCAAACCAAACTCGAGACTCGACTCGATTCAAGTCAACCATTTTGTTGACAGACAAACAAATGCTGGGCTAAATAAGCAAACATGTGCACAAACGCACCCACTAGGACATTCATGAATTCATTGCTTACATTACGCCAAGGATGTTTCAAATCAAATATTTCTTTTCAGATTTTCTCTAAAGCAAGTTATAATTGCCCAGCAATTTGGCAGGAGTCTTTCGTATACTTCATAAGAAAGTCTTTGCATTTCGTAAACAATTTAAATTAATCAAAGCCAGGTTTTTAAGTCGTCACGTTTACAATAACAATTATGATTTAAAAGTGATATTCCTTTTCATGTATTTTAAAAGAAGTGTTACCTTTTCTTTTTTTAATTTTAAAATATTCATTTATATTGAGAGATATTGAGATCTTTTTTTTCGAATTTTTTTACGAAAATAGTGCGTATTCAAATTGATTGATAAATTTTAAAATATTTATTAACATGAGTAGTATTTATTTGTTTTCAGATATGTATTTTTGATTATAAATAAATTTTTATAAATCTTTGAGTGCCTATTTTTTAAAATCTCTTATTTATTTCGTATTTAAGCTTTGTTTAAGGTTATGTTTTCGGGAATTATATGTATCCAAATTGAATTGTTAAAACCTTTAAAAATTCCTCTCTGCTAAAATATTGGAAAACGTATCTTTTTAAATGGTTTTTATTTTGGTTGGTTTTTGCAAACATAACTCGGGTCTCCGAGTCGGAAAGGGTCCCATTTCGACGTTGAAATCCGCCATATTTACATTTGTCAAGCACTCCACTCACCTTTGACTGCGGTGTTTTCTCTGTCTCTTAAGCTTTCTCCGCTAAATCCTTCTCCGATTCGGAACGCAAATGGGATTCAAATATTTGCCACACTCACTTTCACTTCGGCTCGGGTCGTTAGATTGAATTGAAAAACGGTATTCGAAACGCTTTTGGCTCACCTGCCAAAGCTCTATTTAATCAAGATTCGATTTCTCTTAGCTTAGCACAAAAACCAAAAAAAAATATATGTTCAGCACTTTCGAAAATATTTCGAAAACCGGATACCAAAGCCAGTAGCTGTGTGATTTTAAACTGTGACCAGTGACCAGTAACCAGTGACTTTCGACTGTGATTGGAGTTGCTGAATTCAGAGGCTGAGAACCGAACCGCACGAGAGTCTGTTGACGAATGAGTTTGAATGGTCGATTCGAATCCTTAACAGTGGCAGGACAACAAGTTGTTATGTCCTTAACAGCGCTGCTAACAGGCCTGTTGAATTGGCAAGTGATAACAGAGCCAAAAGCTCCGCCAAAGGGAAAGTTTAGCCGATGCAAAAACAAAAAGCAAGCTAAAGATTTCCGCCGCCAGATGGCGCCAGAAGTTTTAAAAATATCCTTAAAAAGTATAGAAAATATTCAAAAAAAAACCATTGGATGATTTTTCCAATTACCTATTATTTTTAAAAAATATACACACCCAAACAAAAGTATATTTTTATAAATGTTGAAACAGAAATATAAATACATATCAAAATATTAATTTTTGCCAAAACTTTTTTTTGGTTTTTCCCATTTTGAAGCATAAAAACCACATTACATTTATATTTTTTTTCAAATTTTATTGTTGTTTTTTGTTTTTGTCGTAAGAAAATTTCTCTTTATTCATCGGTCGACTTCCTGCGACTTCTCTAGCTAAAAAAAAAACTCACTCCAACATCGTTCGTTCCTAACAGAAAAAGAATGACAATCAAGTTTGAAATTATATGGATGGGGGCAAACGTAAAATAAAACACAAAAGGCCATCAATTGATTTGTAATAATAGGACTAATTTAAATGTATCGTACAATTGGAAGGTTTTCTTGTCTTACACCTCAATTAATGGGACTCGCTTCCACTTTTCGCTTGATATTCCCTTTTTTTTTTAGATCGACGGCTCATTCTTTAAGCTGCTCTTCTTCTTCGCTCTCTATAATGTGTGTCTTCAACAAACGAAGACAATTTCACAAAAGAATTTCTTTAGGTTACATTTTTGTTGGTATGTTTTTTTTTATAGTTTTTTTTGTTTTGTTTGGAGTATGTGTGCAGTTGGGCATTTCAAAGTTCAAATTTCTAAAACAAATCTGTGGAAACGTTCGTTTAAAGACTAACAATCTCTCGATAGACGAAAAAAAAATTATGATAGTATTTCTAGAGATGATCTCGAACATGATTCATGCGCATAACTAATTAATTACGAAACTGTATGCTCTGCTCTGCTCCCTGCAGGATGAAAATGTAGTTTGCTGTTGCTGCTGCTGCTGCTTCGGCTGATCTTGCTGCCGTTTTATTGGTGTTCTTCTTCTCTTCGGGATATGTGGCAGTCTTGAGCGGATTGGAAACCTAATCATCGCCAGCGGAACGCTTGACCTTGCGCTGCTTGGGACTCTGCTGGCTGGCCGCCTTGGGACTGGCCTGCTTGCCGGGCTTCGGCGAGGTCTTGGGCGTCTTGGACTTGGGCGGCGACTTCTGCAGCGCCCGCAGCGTCTCCTGTGGCACCCAATCGTAGTCGATGGTGCTATCGTTGGCCGTTCCAGTTTCGATCACCTTCTTGGCAGCGGCACGCTTCCTCTTGCCCGAGCTGCCCAGCAGATACTGCTGTCCGATGACCAGTAGGAGGACCACAATGCCGGCCAGCAGGACGTACAGGAAGAAGGTCTCGCCATCGAGTCCCTCGTCAACCTCGGAAATCAGCACGGTCTCATTGAAGACAGCCTCGTTGTACTGAATGCCATTGGCATCGCGATAGGCCAGTGCAATGTTCAGTCCAAAGGGACGTCCGGCAAATTGATCCGAGGGCAGGAAGGTGTACGACACCGTCGATTCGAAGCCGGGCTTCACCTCACGATTGTAGGCCACCGCCGAGAAGTTCTGGATGAAGTAGTTGAAGTCCATGGGATAGCGGAAAGAGGCCTCCACCGTCTCGATCACAAACTCCTCGGCTCCCTTGTTGGTGAATCCGATGAGGAACTCGACGGGCTTGCCGCCGGGCAGATCCAACTGCTGGCCAGGCGTGTACAGGGGTTTCGTGAAGAGCAGATAGGTGTCCGCATTCGGTGAACTACTGCTGCCCGTATCGCTGTCCTCGTCCGCCTCCGCATCCTCGCCGGTCACCGCTCCCTCCTCGCCGTCCACATCGACCAGGTCGTCCTCCACGGGCTCGGCGGCATAGGCACCGAACTTGTTGGCTTTAAAATGGATAGCAAGAGTGTTTTTAAATAGGCGTTTTTTATGGGTGAACCAAAATAAAGGTTGATATCTTGATTTTTTATATATTAGCAATGTATGGAACCATGATATTTGAAAAATAAGAATTGTTTGTTATGTATTTTCAAGATTTTATAGAATTTCTATTTGTGTTTTTTTATGGGTGGATATGGTAAATCCCCGTGAACCAAAATAAAGGTTGATATCTTGTTTTTTTATATATTATTAATGAATGGAACCATGATATTTGAAAAAACAACTATTGTTTGTTATGTTTTTTCAAGATTTTATAGAATTTCTTTTTCAATTTTTTTTTATGGGTGGATATAGTAAGTCCCCGTGAACCAAAATAAAGGTTGATATGATTTTGTTATATATTAGCAATGTATGGAACCATGATATTTGAAAAAACAATTGCTTTACATTTTTTTTAGATTTTATAGGATATTATATATTATACATATATATCCCCTGTAGGCCAGATAGCTATCAGATTTATCAAAAATATGCTACGATGGCTTGAACTGTAGCTTGAAACCTTGACATGGCAACTAAATCGCATAAATTTATATCGGAAATAGGGGATATAGTTAACCGATTGATGTGAAAGTTGGCCATAATACAGATATCCATTAAAAACACTATTGTACCGAGTTTAAAGCCTTGATCTTGAAAAACAACCGAAATAACAGCCTTCGAAGTCCGGCCAAATCACGAGTAAGAGCGAGATGGCCATATACGAGGGGGGCTCATGCCAACTCAACAGTTTCCGAGTGTGCGATGAAAATTTGACCACCGAAGATGAATGAAAACCAGCGGAATACGATAAGAACAGATGATTTACGGTGATATTGGGCCTTCGAATGGTAAAATCCACGTAGCAAATGGAGATGCGTCGGCAGTGTGCCACGTAGACGTATAAAGTGAGCGCCCCCACCCCCGCCGCCACCACCGATGAGATTGTTATTTATCGCGAGGGCACTGGGAAATATATAGGTGGAGATCTACTTACGCGAGGAGAAGGTGCAGATGACGATGGGCAGGACCATCAGCATTAGGAACATCAGATGCCTCATCTTGTCGGCCGTTGTTTTCTTCACAAGCACACACGGAAATTCGGCTGGGAAATCGGCTGGGGGAAAAAACGCACACGCACACACAACCTTCGCGATCGAGTGAAAATGAAAGAGTGACGACGAGCGGCGCGGAATAGCGGCGAAAACAGAAGCCGAAGTTTCACGAAGGCGGCGCACGACTTTCACTGTCAAATGTCTACGTGGTGCCACGTCTAGGGTTGCCAGACGTTCGCAGCGGGGGCCTCGAATTTCGCTTGGTTCGGCTTTTCCAGCCACCCACCTAACGTTTAGTGCTAGGCCATGAATAAAACATGTCCTTAAATAAATTCAAATAGCCTTATTCACACTCGATTTACGCGATTAAATAAATATTTGCTTTGTTTTGTTGACATTCACTCGGCTCGACAGCCCTGTTTCACAGGCTGGTGTTGGAAAACGCCACAACTGTCAGTGCTCGTGTATTTAAAAATTATTCACTTAAAGGGGGGAGAAGTAGAAGACGGATTATTTTTAGAAAACGAAATTAAGCTTAATTATGAGATTTTAACAGCCAAAAACCATTTGGAGCCGGTGGCAAACGTTATGCTGGCACTTTACAGCACTCTTTTTATATCGATAGGCATCTGGCCAGTACTCATTTTCTATCGATACTTATTTGTGACAGTGCTGCCAACTTGGCTGTTTTAGGTGAGTGCGCTATTTTAAATTAGGAAACATAGCTAATTATGCTTAGCCTTATAAAATATGGTACACGTATAGTTATTTTTATGGAACCAACATTTACAAGTTAAAAACCAAAACAAAATTTACAAAAAATTCATTTTAATGACCACGAATTGACTAAAATCAAAAACAAATGACAGATGTTATTGCATTTTTGGCTATTTAAAGGTAATACTTGTTTTATTCAAACATTTAGCTATTTTTAGTTCAGTTTGTCTTTAATAACGAATACACAGTTTCGTTTTGCTGATATTGGTATAAACTAAGCAAATATTGGTATTGTAAATAGAAAATGTTATGCACCCACCACATACACCTCCTGATTTAGTAATTTAAAATGATTTATTTTGTAGCTATTTTATAGCCAAGGCCCCCAATCGATAGTTGGCAGCGCCGTTAATCGCACCTATCGCACCGGCCGCAACGCAGCCAACTTCACGTCGCCGCACCGATAACCGAGCAACTTCCTTTTTGCTTGCGGCTGTCAATTGAAGCGCAACTTGCACGTGAATTCTCTGCGAATTTAGCGATTTAACATGGACAAACCAGTTGTTTGGGCACGCGTGATGAAGGTTCTGGGCCGCACCGGCTCCCAGGGCCAATGTACGCAGGTGAAGGTGGAGTTCCTCGGCGAGCAGAACCGCCAGATCATCCGGAATGTGAAGGGACCCGTGCGCGAGGGCGACATCCTGACCCTTTTGGAGTCCGAACGCGAGGCCAGGAGGCTGCGCTAATTGGCGACCCGCTCGAGAGGGTAAGTCTAGATCTTGGTAATCCCTGGAGCATCCTCTAATTCGAATTTTTCCCCTCCATTTCGCAGACCTTTTTTACACACTGTTTTTGCACGCGGCTTTTTTCTGAGGAAATCTGCGGACGGCTGCTGCTGAAATATTCTCGTTATAAACAAATGAAAATACACACCTAATTCGCCAGAAAAATCAGCCAAAATGTGTTTTAAATAAATCTCGAGAGCATTGGAGAGCGCCGCTTTTCTACGGATCGAAAAAAAAACGAATCAAAGCTGTGTTTTGGTTTCATTTATTGGACCTCCCTTTTTGTTTTTGTGTTTTTGTTGAGTGCCCAGTGAAAATTGCCCAGAAAAGTTTTAACGATTTCCCAGGGAAATCCATCGCCTATCTGCCATTGAACTGAAATTATCAAGAAATGTATGGCTGGAAATCGTTAAAAAACACATGGAGAAAGAATTTCATAAAAGTAATTTGGTGTCATCGATTTTCCCAGAAATTCCAAGATTTCCTTTGAATTAAATCCTTGGAAAAGTTAGTTTTTTTTTTTGTTTTATGATTACCATAACAGAAATCTAAAGATCGGCAATATTTTCCATATCCAAATCATAAAGTTACTATGGTTATCCATAAGAAATCCAAATAGCCGTAGACAAATAAAATTGTTGTATTAAATACACAAGTAAAAAGTTCACAAGTATCCTATAATATTTTCAAAAACATTTAAATTTCAACTCCTTTGTTTTAAGAAAGATTGTACTTGATCTTAAAAGAAAGCTCCCATAAATCTTTATAAAATGTTCATTATGATACATGCTCTGCCTTTAGCATGTTTGCATATATCTGCAGATAGGGCTTTATCAAAATAGGAAACTTAATTTATAATGGCACTCTAAACAAATAGAAAACTACAGTATGCAGATAAACCACGTATTTCACACGAGGATTGTTTGTATTTTCTTTTCAGCCACAACATTTAAATCACAATAAAAAGGCGGTAAATCTAGGCAGTTATTTTACAAAAGATATAACGATATTTTACAGAAAGAATAGTAATACGACTAAGAAGATCCTACTAACAAACTACAAGACGAGTGGAAAACTGGCGAGCTTTTCGATTTTGGCCAGTCCCAGTGAAATTCGAGCTTCGGCGTGTTCAGGCAATTGAAGATCGGATCTAAAGGTATCCAGCGAGGATTCCGGGGCCGCAAATTTCGGTTGCAGCTGGCGCAGATGGAGCTCCAGATATTTGACCTGGTTCTGCAGCAGCTTGAGGGATTCCTCCAGGAAATTCCGAAATTCTATTAAATTTGTGGGCGTCTTTTGGCTTTTGCCTTGCTCTTGACTCAGCTGCAGGCAGGCGATCTCGAAGTCGGCTACTTGGACGGATATCTGGGCTAGTTCATAAGCAAGTTTCAGTCTGTTGAATGGAAAGTAATCGCAGTTAGCAAAGTTTCGCAATTTCTGGCGGGGATTAGACCACTTACACGCTGTCCTGCAGGCTTTGGTAGACATCCTGGCACACAGAAAGCAGGGCAAAGGTGGCAGCTTGATTGGTACTATAGTAAGGGAACATATTAGCCTGGTTCAAGTTGGTTAAATTAAGTTTTTACCCCTTAACCAGGCGATATCGTTGACTCAGTTCCCACAAGCGGTTCGCTCGATTCGACAATTCAGGTGTTTCGGCTGCTTTCACCGCTAGATAGCTCCTTATGCTGGTGGCCAATAGCTTCAGCTGTTGCTCCAAACTGGTCTTGTGGTGCTCCAAACGATCTGCTGGCAATAACATCGCGTAAAAGCTGTGAATTGTAATTTAATTTGTAAAATGTGCGAGCCACACCATTCGATAACTGTCATCGAAATCGGGTCGCATCGTTATCGGTGTTGGTGAACATTCCTTGTGCGATATATATCGGATTTAATATTAATTTTTTAAAATTTATTTATAGGTTGTTAGCTGCTCAAAACAATACTCCTCTTTGATTTTGGACCATTTTTGCCCAAGTTACAGCCAAAAATCAGTAAGAACAAGAGAGAACGCTATAGTCGGGTTGTTGTCCCGACTATCTAATACCCGTCACTCAGCTAAAGGGAGTGCTAACGCTGTGTCGGATTGGTGTCCCGACTAATAATCGTAACTCAGCTAAAGGGAGTGCGAGGGAGATAGATATATAATTTTTGATTGCGTATAACTTTTTAATGAATGGTCCGATTTGAAAAATGTCTTCTACATTTTGATAGGTATAAATATACACAACAAAATTGCATTTATACTTCTCGGAAATCTTTAAAGATGTGGGCGCGGGACCCATTTTAAAATCGTTAGTGGGCGATTGTGGGCGTTAGAGGGGGCGTGGCGCTCGGCTAAAATAAACTTGCGCTGCGTAGGAAGCCAAAGAATATGTGTGGGAAATCTCAACCTTCTAGCTTTTGTAGTTTCTGAGATCTCAGCGTTCATACAGACGGACAGACAGACAGACGGACAGACGGACAGACGGACAGACGGACATGGCTAGATCGACTCGGCTAGTGACCCTGATCAAGAATATATATACTTTATGGGGTCGGAAACGCTTCCTTCTAGCTGTTACATACTTTTGCACGAATCTAGTATACCCTTTTACTCTACGAGTAACGGGTATAAAAATCATCAAAAATCAAGATCCTGTTTTTCCACCTTAAAAATCAGTATTTCGACTATAAAAACGTAAATAATGGTCCCAATATGGAATGTCGTACCTCGTTGAGCTCGTAATAAAATTCCCAATCGATTGGCATTCAAACCTGGAACTTTTAATTTTTTTCCCATTTTTTTCAAAAAATCATGATGTAACCCCTTATCAAAAAACCGAAAATTTGATCAAAAATTAATTTTTTTAAATCGCTCAAAAAGTAAACGGATTTTAAAATATGGGTCGTTAGCTATTTACAACAGTAAGCCTTTTTGATTTTTGTCCAAGTTACAGCCAAAAAACGATAAAAAAAAATCATATTTTTATCAAAAATCAAGATTCTTATTTTCCACCCAAAAAATCAGTATTTCGACCATAAAAATGTAAATAATGGTCCCACAATGGAATGTCATACCTTTCTGAACTCGTTATTAAATTCCAAATTAATCTGCATTTAAACCTGGAAATTTTTAATTTTTGATTTTTTTGCAAAAAATTAGGACTTCTAACTCTTTATTAAAAATGTGAAAATTGGGTCAAATATTTATTTTTTTAAATCAGACGAATAGTTCTCTGATATAAATTATTGGGTCGTTAGCTTCTTAAATCGACAAGCCTTTTTCACTTGGGATAATTTATCTATTCAACCGATTGAAGTTAAAGAAAAATAAGTGGTTTCCAGACGGGTCAACTCTTCAGTTGAGCTTGGCAATCGCTTCTTCAATACTCTCGCCACCAAGGATGATCATCTTCAGGTATTCAAGGCCATTCCTGGCGGCCTCCCTCCGAGCTTCCTCCATCGACGCACCACTGCCGTGACAGACGCCCACTGGCGCCATGCAGATGAGGACCAGGCACTGAAACTGCTTGGAGAAGGTGGTCTCCTCGATGTCCACGTAGGTGACCTCAAATTGATTCTCCACAGCGATCTCGGTCAGCAGTTTCTTGAAGTCAATCTTGGTGCTCTTCAGGCAGGTCTTCCGTAGGCCCATCATTTTTGGTCCCATTGGAGCTTTTGGGCTCTTCTGCGATTGCTGCGATGCCTGGTTTTTCGGTTCACCATGATCCTTCGGTTCACCAGAATTCCCCAGTAGGCGAGTGCACATTTTCTGGGCGGCCATCCGCTTGGCCGCCTTCCTGGTCCATCCCGTGCCCACCTCGCTGAACTCCTGGACCAGGCAAATGACCCTGTGCTGCTTCTCCTCGAGCATCCTGTCCTCTGATTCGTAAACCGGGGAAGCCCAGCGGCGTTTCACGCAGATCTCGTTCAGATCGCGGATCGAATGCTCATCGACGATTCTGGAACAAATTAAGTTACAAAAATAAATTACTCTAAGTTCATTTAAATTTTGCAACACAATGTTTAAGTATTTCCATTTCCCTTATATTCGTTTTAATTTTAAATATATTATTAAAATAAAATGAACATTAGAAAAAATGTCTCTGGACAAGAGGACGCCATCAAACCCGCGTCCTGAGACAGTAATGTAGAACTGTCAATGTTATAAAATTGTTCTTTCCACACTCATGTTATGTTTCCAGTTATTTGTTTCTATGTTCTAAATTATGCGTTTTATAACCATTAAGTTGGTTGATCAACGCTATAAATAAAAATATGCTATATAAAAAGAAAAAATGTAGGAAAAAGAAAGCCTTTGGCATAGAAATAAAAAACCCTTTAAGCTTAATTGCACGAAATGAACGGTTCGGTTCTCAAGAATTCACCGCATTTTCTGGAAAAATTCGAACTATAAAAAATATAAAGGGGAAACATTTGGAAATCTTCTTTGCTCTACTTATTCTGATTTCCTTAAATTTGTTTAAATTTTAAATATATTTATAAAATAAAATAAATTTAAAAATAAAATTAACTTTAGAAAGAATGTAGAGAAAGGAAAGCCCTTGGCATAGAAATTAAAAACCCTTCAAGCTGAATTCCACGAAATGAACGGTTCGGTTCTAAAGAATTCACCACATTTCCAGGAAAATTCGACCTATGAAAAATATAAGGGGAAAAATTCGGAAATCTTCTTTGCTCTACTTATTCTGATTTCACTAAATTTGTTTAAATTTTGAATATATTTTTAAAATAAAAGAAATTTAAAAATGAAGTTAGCACTAAAAAGAAAGTGGGAAAAAAAGCCTTTGGCATAGAAATAAAAAGCCCTTCAAGCTGAGTTCCACGAAATGAACGATTCAGTTCTCAAGAATTCGCCGCAATTCCTGGAAAAATTCGACCAACGAAAAATATAAAGGGGAAAAATTCAGAAATCTCCTGTGGTCTACTTACTCTAAAGTATTTTGACGATTGGAACCACCGTTGGGTGTTCCAGTCAGGGTTTCGATGAGCAGCCGAGCAGCCTCATGCTTGCCAATTTTTTTGGAGCGCCCGGAACCAACGGCGAAGTGAGTGACTTCCTTGTCCTTGAAGAAGACGCGAAACCAGAAGTTCACCTCGGCACCGGATCCCTCGGTCTGGAGCAGCTCGTAGGTGGGAACGAGGCTGCGGCGGGATAGCAACTCCTGCAGCAGGGCAACGGGTTGTTTTGAGGCGCTGGCCTCGCGAAGGAACCTCAGCTCCTCTTCGGTGGCCTTGAAGTCCGGATTGGGCAAACTTTCCTCTTTTACCTCTCCACCAGTGGAGTGGCCATGATCCTCCTTAGGATCTTGTGTTTTCTTTTGATCCATATTTCCGTGGCTCTTTTATTAATTAAAGATACAGTCGTCGTTCGATTTTTGATCGAATGCATTGACAGCTTTACAAAAAAATGGCGCTCTGTTGAAACAGCTGTCGATATTTAACAATATCAACCCTGTTGGCCAAAAAAGAAAATGGCGAAACGGCGCGGGAAAAGTTTGAAAATTTAAACAAATGACAGATTTTACTATTAATGTGACAGATAATAATCTAGAACACCTTTTGATCAATTATTTTTAATTATACCAAGTAGATTAAAAGCAGTTGTTATTAATATACTACCCATACCAATAAAAATTGAAAAATTTAAGAAAGTTTTATTTTTTATTTGCTTTACTTTAAAATTACGCCTTAAACTCTTTTTAGGCCTGCAAAAATATTATATTCTTCACAATAAAAATTATTATTTCATATTATTTTCAAGATCAAGGGTTGGATTCAACCGCCCAGCAAGTATCTGGGTATCTGGTAGTTGGAGTACACCCCATTGAAGCGTATCACCCAGCCGACGCCATCGTAGTTGACCGTCTTGTGGAAGCGGACGACCACTTGGCTGCGCTGGCTCTTGTAGTATTTCGGATTGTCCTCGCCACAGAAGCGCCTCACTTCTACTTCCTCGCCAGCCTCGTCCTTTTCCAGGACCTGAAGGTAGTCGGTGTGACAGGTGGTCTTGGAGCCCAGATTGAAAACTAAGTACAGGAAAGGAATATATTAGTGATCACTAATCTTAAAGCAATATAGTAGTACCTTCGAAATTGAGGAAAACTTTATTGTTGCTCGGCACCCGGACAATCCACTGGCACTCGGAGTTATTCCGCACATTGGCCGGATAAAAGGGATTGGCGAAGATGCCCTCGGTGTTGTAGAACTGACCGCCGCATCCGGGCCCCTTCTCCACGGGACTGGCCAGATAGGTGAGATCCAGCGAGGTCAAAAACGACCCGGTCTTCATGTGCAGTCGCAGTTCATCCGAATAGCTGAACAGGCTCTTGCCGACGTCCACAAAGGAGCAGAAGCGTTGCAGCGATTTATTTTGCCTGTCGAAGACCTCCATATATTCCGTCTGGCAGTCGTAGGTGCCGAAAATCAGTTCCGTGTAGTACAAACTCAGCGTGTGATTGACCGGGGCACGGATCGTAATATCGCAATCGTCGGTCTGCGAAAGATGTACCCTTCCCTGCAGACCATCGTAGTGCCGCTCGGACTTGGAGTTCAGCCCCACCTGCACCTGGAATCCGGAGCGCTGCTCCAAGCCCTTCGATCGGAACCGCAGGTACACCTCGTTGGCGTTGGCGTAATAGGTGTCCGGCCTCACATTGCCGCAGTAGACGTGCTCCGTGGCAAAGTCAAAGTGATTGTGTCCGGAGGTCTGGCCATTGAAGACCAGCTCGCTGCCAAAGCCCTGCTCCACCTGTTCGGCATCCTGGGTAAATGATAGATGTATAGGTTAATATTTAAATTAATTAAAAGCATTATGGGATTTGGGAACTTTAAGTGAGGTTTTGGGTCACCTTTTGGTTTTGTATCTTAGAAGTTGTCATGAATAAATATTTTTTAGGGAATTAAACTACTAAACTTATTAAACTTTAGGTAATTCCTTTTCAAATATTTCAAAAACTCCATAATCGGGGTCACCTATTATAAATCTCAAAATCCTATTCTGAGAAATGTTTATAATGCGAATTTATAAGGAAATTAAACCACAAACTAATTAAACTTTGAGTAATTCCTCTACAAATATTTCAAAAAATCCATAATCGAGGTCACCTATTATTTAGTTTATAATCCTATACTGAGAAATGTTTTATAAGGAAATTATACCACAAACTTATTAAACTTTGGATAATTCCTTTACAAAAATTTCAAAAAAATCCATAATCGGGGTCACCTATTATGAATTTCAGAATCCTATACTCAGAATCTTAGTATAAATCACCCTTATATATGGGTAATGCAGATTTTTCAACTTACTATATACAATTTTGGGTAATTCCTTTACAAAAAGTTAAAAAAATCCATAATTGGGGTCACCTATTCTTAATTTCAGGATCATATACTTAGGATCTTATTATAAATCACCCCTATATCTTCCTATCCTCAACGATACTCACCTCACTGTTGTAGACCTTCAGGTAGTCCTCCACACAGCTGCCATTGGCATCGGGACCATGTAGATCGAAGCTGACAAAGTTCATCCGCAGCGGCGTATCGCCCTTGATCCGCCAGAAGCAGGCCACCCCGTTGGCGTAGTTACCGCCCGGCGTCCTGGCCGGCGAGTCAATGGTCACCTCCTGCCGCTCCGAACTCAACGCGATCTCCGAACTGCCGCACAGACGGGGCACGGCGTTGATGGTGACCTCGAAACCGGAATCGGTGACCCTCGTATCGGTGACGAAGCGCAGGAAGAGCGTGTGCCGCGAGGTGCTCAGCGTGGGCGGCTGATCCTGGCCACAGAAGCGTCCAATGATATCGGCAAAGGGACCGGCGCCATCGCGCAACTCCACATAATCCTTGGAACAGTCATCCGACTGCTGAACGTGGAAGTGACTGAACTGCACGCTGATCTGCTGATCCGTGTTCACCCGGAAAACGACATGGCAGTCGAGACCGAAGTCATAGCCCTCGGGATTGTAGAACTTGCTGTACACATAACGCGTGGATCCATTTAGCGAGATCTTCTCATCGCAATTCTGCATGATGCGAACGAAGGCACGGAATCCCCGCGACGGATCCCGCTCATCCGAGTAGCTGTGTATGATGCCCCGCTCCTGCGGAATGCTAATCACCGGGAGCTCTTCGTTCATCCGCCCGCAGAAGCGTCCCCTTCGCTGTCGTTCATCGGGAATGGAACCCGCAAAGATTTCCACCCCATCATAAGCACAATTCGTGTGCGGTTCAAAGTCAAGGAGTTCGAACTTTACAATGAACTTGTAGCCCACCGGTGCCGTGAGATTCCAATAGCAATCGCTGCCCGGCGGGAGGTTGTTATCCGTGTGCTGCCTGGGTGATTGAACCACTCCCGTTCGGCTGATTACTCCACCGCAAAGGCGACTCGAGTAACGCACCTGGAATCCTCGGCCCGAATAGCTGCTATCCGTTTTGAAAATCAAACTTATGGACTCCTTGGCCCTGTACTCGTGATTGTGCTTCACGCCACAGATGATCACCTGCTCCGGGTCCCGATCCTTGTCCTTGGTAACCACGGTGACATTGTCAAAGAGGCAAACGGATATGGGTGCCTGTTCCAGATCGAATTGCAGGAAGCTCACGAGAACGCCACCGGATAGCGGATCCCTCGGCACGATCGTCCAGTTGCATTGCAGATCCTTCTCGTAGCTAACTGGAAAGCCCGGACTGCTGAGATTCCTTTCCTCATCGTCGGCGTAGAGAAGGCCACCGCAATTCCGCTCGAATTTGGCCAGGAAACCATCGCCCACGACATCGCCGTCGGAGCGAAAGATTAGCCGCAGATACGGCGATGTGGTGTTGATCATTTCGGGGGCCACACGACCGCAGATCCTCTGGAGATCCGTCCAATTGCCCGAGGATTCGTTGCGCTGCTGGACGAGCAGATAGTCCTTGGCACAGCCGGCGCTATCCTCGATATAGAAACGCCCTTGGAAGGTGAGACCGATGTGATAGCCCGAGGCAGCCTCCACCTCCCAAATGCACTCGACATTATTCTTGTACTGCTCACTGAAATCGATGGCTCGATACGGATAGGTCAGCTTGCCGCCGCATCCCGAACCGTATTTAACGGACACATTGAATGTCGCATTGGGTGCGAAGCTATCCGAGTGGTATTCAAAGAACAGGCCACGCTCCACCACCACATTCACAGCCGCCGGCTGGTTGCAGAATAATCCCAGCGAGGGTGAGTTCTGGTCGGGTCCATTGTACACCTAAAAAGAGAGATTCCTCCATTAAATACAGAACAAGAGGGCACGCTATAGTCGAGTATTTCGACTATCAGATACCCATTACTCACTACATTTTTTGTCCATAACTTTTTAATGGACTTTCCGATTTGAAAACTTTCTTCTACATTTCGATAGGTGTTAGTAAACACAACAAATTGGCATTTCAACTTTTACAAAATCTGTAAAGATCTCTTTTAAAGCGACTGTGGGCGTACGAGTGGGCGTGGAATATTAGTTATTAATCCTAACCTTCTAGGTTTTGTAGTTTCCGAGATCTCAGCGTTTAAACGGACGGACATGGCTATATCGACTCGATATAAATATAACATATTTCAAAATTATCCCTACTTTAAGATAGTGATGCTGGCAGGCCTCTTCCGTGGATCCCGGAGCCAGCGGAGGCGTCGGCAGGTTGACACCGCGCACCGTCACCTCCAGCTGGATGTCCTGCGGAACCACCTCGTCGTCGTTGACGGCATCCGCATAGGATCCAATGGCCCAGGCACAGTCGATGGGTCCCTGTATCTCCGCCATTCCCGTTGGCTGGCTCAGCGTCATATTGTCGCCCGGCTCCAGGATATAGACGCCGCCGCAGGACTGCATGTTGTAGGACAGGACGAGGCTGGACAACGAGTTGCGGTTGTTGGACGAGACAACCAGTTGGATGGGGAAGGGCACTCGGATGGAGGGGAGGGGTTTGCCCGGTGTGGGTGCCTGGTAATTGCAGAGGATGCGCTGCATTAGGTGCTCCACCTGGTCGACGCGGTTGATCCTAAGCGGCGAGAGGAGGGAGCAGAGATGCGTGTTACGCATCATCACAGAGCTCGAGTTGTACTGCTTCACCTGGAATAGAAAGTTCATTTAAAAAGGAGTTTACTTGCTAAGTAAAAAAAACTAGCTGATAAGCAACTTATCAAAATTAATACATACAAGTTCCAAAATGAACTGCTTTTGGCATATTCATTCAAAAATGAACACGTTTATGCATATTCATTCAAACAGGCTTATGCATGTTCATTTAATGCAATGAATAAGTTTATGCAGTTTACTAAGTAAAAAAAAAACTAGTCGATAAGCAACTAATCAAAATTAATTCATACATAGTTTAAAAATAAACAGGTTTATGCATGTTTATTTAAAAATAAATAAGTTTATGCAGTTTATTAAGTAAAAAAAAAACTAGATGATACGCAACTAATCAAAATTAATACATAAAAGTTCCAAAATGAACTGGTTTTAGCATATTCATTGAAAAATGTACAAGTTTATGCATGCTATTTTAAAAATGAACGTGTTCAAGCGTTCTTTCATTAAAGGAAAATCAAAGAAAATCCTTTCCTCACCTGAATCATGATGGTGCTATTAACCAGCGGCTCAATTTTGTAGCTGCAGTGAATCGGAATGCTGACATTAACCGGCTGAAACACAATCTCCGTGGTGACATCCCTTTGGATGCCGAACTGCTGGCATCTGCTGAATCCCGAGGCACTGAATCGCAGCTTAATGCCGCGCGTCTGGCCGGTGGGCAGCAGGAAGGCATCGATGCCCATGGTATTGTCCGAGGACATCACCTCGGCAGGCGGATCGGCGGTGTATCTGCCCAGGATCGACTGCATTTTGAAGTCATTGGCCACGGTGAGACGTCCACGGAAGTGACCAAAGCCATAGGCCATTGGGGTTCTCCAACCTTCGCTCACATTCCGATTGCCCATATTAAAGTCGAGGATCTCGAGGCGAACTCGCCGTCCCTTGGCCACCTCCACGTGCCAGACGCAGTGCATCGGATGGTCGACACCCATGGGATAGCCAGGCGTCTGGAGGACTCCCACATTGGCGTTGATGGTCTCACCGCAGCGGGAGCCCAGGGATTTATAAGTAAACCGGAAGCCCTGATTCTCGGCGGGAATTCCATCCATAAACCGATAGCGGAACACAATCTTGTTGGTCTCGCTCAACAGGCGATGTTTCTCGTTGCCGCACACGGTCAGATCATCCACGACCTTCTCCTCCTGCTCTTCACCATCCGATCCTGCGAAGGCATCCATCTCCTCCAGCCGCAGATGATTCCGCTGCGAGCAGCTGCCATTCGCCAGCCGTGGGATCTGCATAAATTCCGTTTCCAGCTCGATGGTGCTGCCCTTTTCCAGCTCAATGGTGTACACACACTCCTCCAGCTGCTTGCCTTCCTCCTGGCCATGGTGAATCTGGAGGAGATCGCGCGGTGGTGAGGCTATGACGCCCTCGCTGCCATGGAAAGAGCCACCGCAACGGGCCAACTTCAGGCTGGCATTGAAACCCATGTGCGGCTCCGAGACATCTGTGTAGTAGCGAATCCTCAGCTGATTGCCAGTGGAGTAAATCGAATCCGGTTTGCGATTGCCACAATAGCGACCGATCTCGTGCTTCAGCTCCGTGCTGCCATCGTTGACCAGGACGTACTCCCTTTGGCACTCCCTCGTCTCCCCATCCGCTTCGACCAGATCGAATCCGCCCTGAAAATGCAGCACTATCCGATGTTCCGGCGGCGCCTGTACAATCCAAATGCATTCGGAATGGGGATGCGGCAGATGTGGATAATACGGTGTACTGATGATCTTCTCATCGGAGCTGCTGGTCAATTGAATGCGACCCGAGCAGGCGTGGCCTAGTTCCTCGAAGCGGAAGGTCATCAGGAAGCGGGGAGGACTCGCATAGTGGAACTTGACATACGCCCGATTGGAGGTGGTGTTTAGGATCTCATTCGCCACATCCTCACAGTATTTTCCACGGCCCAAAAAGGGTGAATCCTCATCGTTGCCATTGCGTAGCATTAGGAAATTGCGACAATCATTTGCGGCACTGTTTTGTAACTGAAAGTCGGGGAAATCGATCTTGATCCTGCGACCCTGACGCACCTTTATAGTCCACACACAATCCTGATTCACGCGGGGATTCAGTCTCAAAACCTCGGTGATGTTCACCTGACCTTGGGTGGCCGTAATCTCGGAACCACAGCCCGTTCGTACAAGCCCATTAAAGCCCGTTCTATTGACACTAGGATCCGTAGTGAACTCCACTCGAAGATAGGGTTTCCCATGGAAGATTCTCTCATTAGGAGCAGTGGGCAGCGTGCACAATCTAGCCAATTCCGACCAGTTCTGCAGATCACCTCCACTCGAAATCCTCACATAGTCCGCTATGCAATCGTTGGGCCCGCCAAAGACCTCCAAATCCAGGTGACTCAGCGTGAAGATGGCATGCACAGCCGGATCCGAGGGCACCAAAGTCCACGAGCACTTCAACCCATTGTCGTAGCCATTCGGATAGCCCGGCGAATGGAATCCAATGGCCGAACGATCGATGGTGATTAACTGACGGCCGCCGCACAGGCGCGTCTGCTCCTCGGCCGTGCGATTCGAGCGAAGAGCCTCCTTGGAGAGACGCTCCCAGGTCAAACGGAAGGGACCCCGGCTGGCCGTCAAATAGACCACATTGGTGCTGGAAAGGATCGGCTCTTCTAGACCCATCATCTCGATGCGGGCTCCAATGTCCGAATAGCCATCGTAGAAACGCAAATGTGGCTGGTCGACATCCCTCAAATGGTCCACCGATATCGCCACCACATACTCCTTTTCCACCGTTATGCGCCAGCTGTACGGATCGGTGTCCTGGAATTTGCTCGGATAGTGCGGCGACTCGATGGCGCCGTCAGTGCCATTCAGCTCGTTGTGGTGTTCTATAAACAGATAAGAGAAATAGTATTTCTTTTTATAATTTTAAATGATTTTTCAACAATTTAATTATTTGCGAATTCTTTAGGACAAGAAGAAACCAAATTAAACACCCTATCATATTCCCTTTTTTTTATTTTTTGATTTGAAATTTTTAATAAAATTAGACAGCGAATTCTTTAGAACAAGAGTTTAAATTTAATTTTTAATAATTCGCGAATTCTTCAGGACAAGAATAAACCAAATGGATATTAAATCTTTAACAAAAGTAGACCGCGAATTCCTTAGAACAAGAGTTTGAAAAATGTAATTATTGCAAATTCTTCAGGACAAAAAAAAAACAAATATGAAGCCCCTTATAAATTTGTTCATGAATTTTTCAACAGAATTATACCGTGAACAAGAGTTTAAAAAATTTATTTTTTATAAAATAATTTGCGAATTCTTTAGGTCAAAGAGAACCTACATATAGCACCCTTATATATTTTTAAAAATGTTGTAATTCCACACGAATTCTACAGAATTAGTCTTCCGAACTTGAATTAGAAATTTCTTCAAAATCGTCATATTCTTACCATAGTTATAAGAGGCCATGAATCCCTCGCCCACATTGTCATCGTCGCTCTTGAACTTCATCCAGATCGAACCGCTCGAGTGAATCACCCCGGGCACCTCGTTGCCGCAATAGACTCCGATCAGTTTACCGTTCTCCGTCTCCTCGCGCACCTCCAGATAATCCCGATTGCAGCCATCCGACTTCTCTAGGTCCATCGATAGCAGCGCCAGGCTGATGGAATTGCCCGCGGAGGCTTCCAGCAGCCAGGTGCACTCGATGTTCGGTGGATAGGAGGCGGGATAGTAGGGCGAAGTGAACCGGCCGGACAGAGCGTTGTACAGGCTGCCGCAGGCCGTGTCCATGGTCATGTAGTGGCCGGCGAACTCCTCGACCAGCAGCAGGGGCACACTGATGGCCAGCGCCTGGCCGTTGGAGATCAACGCCGGCGGATGCGAGCGGCAGAACTGGAGGCGCGGCGTTCCCTTGGCCTCCGTGCCCTCGTAGATCTTCACGCCCATTTGGAGGCAGTCGCCCTCGGTGGGATATCGGCTCTCGGCCTCCTCGCGCAACTTCACATGGGTGGGCGTGAAGATGATGTGCTTGTTGGGCTCCTGCGACTGGAAGACAAACAGACAGGTCTCGTTCCGCGGCGCCTGACGCGACATCTCCACGTATTCGAAGTCGGTATCGTCGATGGTCACCTGCAATGTGCCAGCATAAATTAAAATTATATTTTGTGATCTTGGATGTTGAATAAATTAAATCATATTAATATCTATAGTACCTTTTATATTACTAAATATATGAAAATAGATTTTTAAAAACGTTTTGTTAGTTTTTCTAAGGATTTTAGACAAAGTTATAGAGATATTCAGAATACTCCTTAAAATAATACATCTATTTATTATTATGTTAAAACAGATCGATTAAAAATTGCTTATGGAAAAAAAAGTTTATAATTTTAAATGAATTTTGAATTAAATTACATTAAAATAATATCTATAGTACCTAATCACTAAATAGATGAAAATAGATTTTTAAAAACATTTTTTAGTTTTTCTAAGGACTTTTGTGATTTTGGATGTTGAATAAATTAAATCATTATAATAAATTAGTACCTATTAAATCACTAAATATATGAAAACAGATTTTTAAAAACATTTTTTAGTTTTTCTAAGAACTTTAGACAAGGTTATAGAGATATTCGGAATACTCCTTAAAATAATACATCTATTTTCACATTAAATATATCTATAACTTATTGAAAACCCCACCGTTTGGCCACACGACTCGTGGAAGTGCAGCCGGAAGCCCTTCCTCGAGACGGAGTCATCGCTGATGAATCGCACCACCGCCAAATTGGTGGCGGACTTTCGAATGGCGGTATCTTGCTCCTCATCGCCGCAGACCTTGAACAGCTGCTGACCCTCGGTGTCGTCCTCGGCCAGATCGTAGCCTTCCAAATAGTCCCAGTTGCAATCGTAGCCCGACTCGAGATCAAGGTTCTGCATTTCGAAGACGATCTGGTGGTGCGGCGACACCTCCACCTGCCATTCGCAGTGACTGCTGACGGGATATGATTGCGGGTAGTTGGGAGACTCGATCACTCCGTTGCGGGCCGAGATTTTGCCACCGCAAGCTGAGGAAATGAAGGAAGGATAGCAGTAAGTAAGGTGTTAATATCCTTATAAAGGTGTCTGAAAGTATACAGTAATATATTTAAGATCTAGAAGATAGGCAGTATTTTTCATTGCATACTTTTATGCACCTTTAAAAGTGAGTTCAAAAACCTAGTGATTCGGATGGAAGTATAGCTGTAAGTAAGGTGTTAATTAATTTTGTTAGTAACAAATAGATTAGGAATTCCATTTGTTGTTAAAAATAACCTAAATTTTTAGAGATAACCGATGAAGGCACAGAAATCACTTGGAATTTAAAGGCACTTATGAAGGTGTCTAAAAGTATGCAACAATATATTTAAAATAGATTCTAATCGGAAAATCCTGCTGGTCATTAAACCAGATATTTATATAAATTACTTCTATACTCCAAAATAATAAAATGATCCAAGAATCACTCTTCAAATTTCTTACCAATCAGTTCTACATTAATCCCTATATCCTACTCACTTGCTTTCACAGTTTTATAGGTGGCAGAGAATCCCAGTCCATTGTGCGAACCATCCGATTGGAATCGCACATGCAACCTGTGCCCGGCACTGGTGATGACCAGCTTGTCCGTGGATCCACAGTGGCGTTCGTGGTCCGCCACAGAGTACTTGTGGTTGGACACCTGAAATCATTCCATTAGATTACTATTACAAGTTGAGAATCCAATCTCACCGTCAGCGCATCCTTGGTGCAATTGACGCTCTCCTCGAGATCCATATTGAAGATGGTCAGCTCGATGATGCTGTCGCGCTGGACGGTGATGAGCCAGTAGCACTCCAGGTCGTTGGGATACATGTGCGGTCTATTTGGCGAATCGAAGGATCCACTTTCGCCGCGCAGCTCCTGGAGGCAGCCATCGATGCGGTAGTCCAGCTGGAAGTTCACAAAGCTGGCATTGTGGACGACGGTCAGCACTTCGCCACTGGCATTCAGTGCTCCTGGGGCAATAATGCTCTCTATATTTTTCCCATCCATGATATACAGACCACCGGGCATCTGGGTACTCGGCATATGCTGCTCCGCCTCGTGTCGCTCCAAATGGGAGACTTCCAGGCGAATGCGATTGCCTTTGGGCGCCCGAATGGTCCAGCTGCAATTGATCGGTATCGTCTCCCAGAAGGGCTCCATGTAGTTCAGACTCTCGATGGTTCCCGTGGTGGCCGTCAGATTTCTAACGCAATTCGCCTTGAAGGATATACGAAAACCTCTTCCAGCATTTGAGGAATCCGTATCGAAGGCCACCGTCGCCTCACTCGTCTCCAGCTGAATCAATTGATTCTTCTGATCCGATCCGCACATCACCTTGTCGGGCGTCTGATTGGGTTGCTTGATGCCCGCGTAGATCTTCACGCTGTCGTAGTAGCAGCTACTCAAGCCCTCCACATCCATGTCATCGACGAGCAGGGAGACTGCGGAGCCGGGATGCACACTAATCCGCCACTCGCAGTGCGACAGGTGGGGATACGAGTTGGGGTAGCGGGGCGAGGAGATGGCTCCCATATTGGAGCGCAGATTCCCGCCGCATCCAAAGGCGGCGACGCGCCAACGTAGGCGGAAGCCTCGACCATTAATTGCCGAATCCGTGTGCAGATGCAGTCGCATCTCGTGGCTAAAACTGGGTATCCTCGCCGGTATATTCCCTCCACAAAACCTTCCTATCAGCGGCGATGTGTCGGCACCGCCGTTCCTTATCTCCAAATAATCCGCCGAGCAGTTCGACGACTCCTCGAGGGCAAAGTTCTCCAGCTGAATCTCGAGCAGATGACCCAATGTCCCCGTCAAATGCCAATCGCAATCCAAACCGCTGGAATAATTGGCGGGATAATCCGGTGAGGTGAGCTCACCACTGGATGCATGAATGTGACCACCGCAATTGCCGCGTTCCTCGAACGAGTAGCTCAATTCGAAGCCGCCGTCCGATTCGCTGTAGTCCGAGACGAATTTGATGACCAACTGACGCGAGTGACTGACCAGATCCTCGGGCAAATGGGAGCCACATAGCTTAGCCAGCGGCTTGGCCTTCTCATCGTTCTGCTGGGCGGAAAGGCTATCGTAGATCTCCACAAAGTCAAAGCTGCAGTCCAACGATTCCTCCAGATCGAAGCTCAGCCAGTGCAGCCGGATGGCCTTGTTGGCCGGCGCCATTATCACCCAGTAGCAGTTCGCATCATCGGCATAGTGACCCGCCGAGGATTCCGGCAGGCGGATGTGCTCACCGGAAAGAGTGTGGACTCCACCACACTTGTCGCTTCCCGCCGACACCGACTGGTACTCGAACTTGAAGCCACGACCCGAACTGTCCGCATCCGTGGTCAGGTGGAACTGCAGGAAGTTGGTCTGGCTGACAAAGATCTCCGCCGGCTGGTTCTTGCCACAGAAGGGTCCAAGGATCTGGCGGTTCAGGCCATCGTTGATCTGTGAAAGGGAGGGTAAGTAAGTAAGGGTATGTATATGGGCACTTCCAAAAAAAAGTCCACCAAGCCAAAAACCTTGAAACTTGAATAAAACGTATTTCCACATGATTTTGCCCCGATATTAGTTTCTAATTAGTTGGATACTGAGCTTAACTACAAATTTGGAGTATAGTTTGATTATTTTTATGACAAACCCCACCAATATACGCAAAAATCAGTTTTTGGCTCTTTTTTTGTTATTTTTTGGACCTGTCTTCTGTTGTTATTTTATCCTATAGGAATGCTAATATGTGACATTTTTCTGTACTGAATGCTTCATTCACATGCTAAACTGTTAAGTTAAAAGCAAAACATCCAGCAATTGAGAGATAGAGGTAAAGAGATCCGCTTTACAAAACAGTCGGAAAAAATGTCCCGAGCGACATGTCCCGAGCGAATGTGGTTGAACCTACATTAAAAAAAAACGGCAAAGAATTTTTGAGTAAAACCAAAAGCATTTCACAGCGACATGTTTGAACAACATTCTAAAAAAAATCGCATTCAAATATTCCATCAGAATTTGCTAATTTCTGGTGTTGTATGAACTTCCCCGAAATCCACTTCTATTTTTGTCCCGAGCGAATACGGCAGTTTTTTACCGATATCTCAAAAACTAAAAGTGGTACAAAATTAAGATTTTTACCAAAAATAGAGCTTGGGAAGAGTGAAAAGAAAAGCCCATAATTAAAATTAAAATCCATTGTTTTACAATTTTTTTTCAACTTCAAAGGTGTGCAAATGTCCCGAGCGACATTTTGGAAGTGCCCATATACATATGTGGTATATAATGCAAGAACTGCAATTTTTGTTGTTTTTCGTAATTTTTTTTTATTAATAAGGAATTGTGCTGGAATTTCGCAACTTGGCATATTGATTGCATTGTTCTTATATCATTTTAAACAATTTTTAATTTTTGTAACGATTTCCATCACTTTCGGGGAAATTTATTTTTTGATCAATTTTCGCATTTTTGATAAATTAAACAATTTCCAAATTTAAATGCCAATCGTTGGGGAATTTATTTACGAGCTCAGCGAGGTATTACATTCCATATTTGGATCGAAATTTTCATTGTTACGGGCAAAAAACTGCTATTTTACGGTGGAAAATATGGATTAGAATTTCAGACAAAAATTTTGCGGCTTTTCAGTTGTAATTTGGACAAATTAAGGCCTACAGTTAAAAGACCGACTGTTTTGAACAGCTAACGACCTATACTAACGATCCCCATCACTTTCTGCGAAATTTATTTTTTGATAAATTTTTCCATTTTTTAATGATAGTTACATTAGGATTTTTTGCAAAAAATTACAAAATTTTAAGATTTTTAGGTTTGAATGCCAATCGTTAGGAAATTAAATCACGAGTTCAACAAGGTATGACATTCCATAATTGGATCATTATTTCCATTCCTACGACCAAAAAACTGATATTTCAGGGTGAAAAATATGGATTTAAATTTTCGACGAAAATTGTCCTTTTTTTTATGGTTTTATAGTCGTAGCTTGGACAATTCAAGGCCTACAGCTAAAAAACCGACTGTTCCGAACAGCTAACGACCTATGCTAACAAATCCCATCACTTTCTGGGAATTTTTTTTTTTCAGCAATTTTCGCATTTTTTGATGAGGGGGTTAATAATTTTTTGCAAAAAATTACAAATTTTAAACATTTCTAGGTTTGAATGCCAATTGATTGGGGATTTAATTACGAGCTCGGGGAGGTATGACTCTATATTTGCATCATTATTTGAATTGTTACGACCAAAAAACTGATATTTTTGGATGAAAAATATGGGTTTGAATTTTCGACGAAAATATGGATTCGAATTTTTTCCGAAAATAGTCCCCTCTTTATATTCTAATGGCTTTTTCTATGAATATCTGTGCCCTGAAACTCACCCTCAAATTGGTGGTTGGACAGCCAGGATCATCGTCTAGACTCTCGCCGTCGTTCAGTTGAAAATCAATCCTCTTCAAGTTGATAACCGTATTGGAGGCCGTTCGAATCGTATAGGTGCACAGCCGGTCGCTCCTGGACAGGTTTGGATAGCCCGGTGAGGTGAGTGTGCCCTCGGCACTGTCCAGTTTGAGGTCACAGGCCATCCGATAGTTCAGCTGGAAGGCACCCGAGCGGGCATAGAACTTGATTTTGAGGCGATTGAACTGCGATGTGAAGGCGGGCGGATTCAAGCGGGCCGCGTCCGAACCGCAGATCTTCTCCTGCAAACTACTGGCGCCCTCGTCCGTCACGTCCAGCACTTCGAGGCAGTCCTGCGGCTCCAGCTGCAGGCGCACAAACTGAATGGCTATCTGCTCGCCCACGGCCAAATGGATTTCGTATTCGCAGGAAACTCCACCGGGTTCCGAATTGGCTGTGGAGGATTCGGAAATGGTGCCCTGCTTGGCGGTGTAGACGCCACCGCAGCCGGGCACCCGCTCCTCGACCGAATAGTGCAGCTGGAAGCCCGTGTCGCCGCCATCGGCGTCCGAGTGGAAGTGGATCTCGGCCAGGTGGGTGGCCAGGAGCAGCGGTGCCGGAGCTCCGCTGGTGCAGTACTGGGCCAGTTCGCGGCCGGAAATGGTGTCCTTGATCTAAGTAACAAGAAAAAGAGGAGGTGATTAATAAATTAACAGGTGGAATACAAATATAAACTCGTAAAAAATTCTAAACTATTGAAATTAGCTTCCAAAATGTTAACTTATTATTAGTCAATTTATGTACTTCACAAGTACAACAAAATGTTATTTTATTATTAGTTAATTAATGGAATAATAATAATATATGTACTTATTCTTTCTTTGATTAATCCAACATGTTTAAACATATTACTTTTTTATACAAAATTTTTATTTTCATGCTTTTTAAAATATTTTAGTACTTTGTAAATAATAATATCATAAGGAATAATAATGATATATGTACTTATATTTTTTTTATGAATGCAACATTACTGTTACTGTTACTTTTTAATAAATATTCATTTTCCACGCTTTGTAAAATATTTTCGTACTTTTTTTACAAGTACCCATGGTATTTTGGCTAGAATGTTTTTTTATAAAACGATTTGGCTTTTATTGAATCTATTATTTTTAAATCAAAGAACTTTATAGGGGTTTAAAAATCCTTGTATAGCTATTAAACACTATGCTACGAAATATTTTTACTATCTAATAACCTTTCAAAAACCCAAACTCCTAGACTCACCTTCACATAATCGAAATTGCAGCTGTCGTGCTGCTCCAGCTGGAGAGAGAAGAAGGTGAGCTTGATGCGCTTGTTGGTCGGGGCCACCAGTTGCCAGCGGCAGTCGCGGTTCTTTGGATAATTGCCCGGTGATCCCGGCGAGGCGAGGGTTCCATGGGTCTCAAATTCCAGCCGACCGCCGCACTGCGGCTGCATTGAATTCCAGCTGAGATCGAAGCCCTCCCTGGCCGTCGAGTTGTCGGATCGGAACCAAAGATACAGTTGATTCCCTGAAGAGACGATATTCCCGCCGTGCGGCAGATGGTTGCCACAATAGCGTCCGATTATCTGGGCAGCCGCCGAGCGGCCATCGTTGATCTGCAGCCAATCGAAGCGGCACTCCGTCGAGTCCTCCACATCGAAGCTATTGAAGGTGACATTGACCACCAGCGATTCGTTGGTGCGAATGACCCAGGCGCACTGGGCATTGTGCTCGTATCCAGTGCCCTCCGGCGGATATTTCAGACGTCCGCTGGGCGCCGCCAGCATTCCGTTGCAGCTGCTGAATCGCGTGTCGCACAGGCGACCCCGGTAGCCCGGCATGCACTGGCAGACGAAGCCATCGCCAGTGGCCCCCACCGTCGGCCGGCAGCGTCCGCCGTTCTTGCAGGGATGCAGGTCGCAGGGACTGGCCATCGGCTCGCAGATCGGCTGCTTGAAGCCACTGGGACACAGGCAGGTGAAGTTCGAGGGTCCGGCGTCCAGGCAAATGCCATCGTTCTGTTGAAACAGAGAGAAGGAAAGGGATATTAATAATCACAAAATGGGAAATTAATGTCATAAAAAGGTTCTTATAAAATATTTCTATAATACATTTTATGCTTCGAAAAATGTGCAATTTTAAACTACTATTTTACCATAAATATATTTGTTATGCATATATTTATGAAAACAAAAAAAGGCTTAAAAAGGTTTTTATAAAATATATCTATATGACATTTTATGCTTCTAAAAATTTGCATTTTTAAAATGCTACATATACTTACATATACTTTTATGCTTATATTTATGAAACCAAAAAAAATTGTTTAGTGGTTATCTTAATTTTACATATTTAGATATGGTTTTTTACATTTCATTTTAATAATTTAATTTTTATTAATACTAAAAAGTTTATTATTTGTGTCTACTATTAAAGAATTATATATTTACTAAATAACTGTTTTTAATGAGTTATAAACTATATTCCATATCCGTATTCTACATCCAACATTTTCAAGGTTTCAAGCCACCTTTAAATTTAACAAGTGGATGAGAAAACGGATCCTAAAAGATATATAATATATATAAATATATAACGAGAAAAAACTTTAAAAATATGTAAAGATTTAAATTAAAAAAAAAGATTAAGGCCGTTAAAAATAAGAAATATATAGTTTGCTATTTTGTACATACTTTCATAACTATTTATAAGATTTTATAGCCAAAAAAAAACTCCTTTTAACTCACCAGGCAGGGATTTCCAGCGCAATTCGTGGTCGTTCCATTGACGCAGCCACTTGGACCGTATCCCGAACCCACCATGCCCACCGGACATCTGCAGGTGGCGGTGCCGGAGATCAGGAAGCAGCTGGCTGTCGGGTAGCAGGGATTGTTGCTCGCCGGACAACTTCTGGGCCGCTGGCCGGTCTGGATATCGAAATCCTCGGCACTCCGCTCGCACTTCCGGCCATCGCCCGTCCAACCCAGCGGACACTCGCCGCAGTGATACGATCCATAGGTATTTATGCAGTCCACCTTCGGACTGAGGCTGCAGCCGCCGTTGTTCGTCTGGCACTCGTCCAGATCCCGGCAACTGATCCCGTTTCCCGTGAGGCCGGCGGCACAGGGGGCGCAGGTGAAGCTGCCCGGCAGATTGATGCACTTGGTGGAGCACGGCCTGTAGGCCGCCGAATCGCTGCACTCGTCCACATCCTCGCCACAAACGGGCGTCACGCCATTGGACTTCCAGCCAGGCTCACAGAGGCACCGATAACCGGCGCTATCGGCACTCGGAATGCAGGATCCGTGGCCACACAGCTCCCAGGCACTCGACTGCGAGCAGTCCGCCTTGCGCTGGCTGCAGTGCATCCCATGCCAGCCCGGCTGGCACAGGCAGCTGTAGGATCCGAACTGATTCTGGCACTGTCCTCCGTTCTGGCAGCCCAGGTCGGTGCCCTCGTACAGGGCGCACTCGTTGACGTCCACCTCGCACTTGGTGCCCTGCGCAAAAATAAAAATAATATGATCAATCAATTGTTTATATTGTAACTGGGAATATTAGGGCATTGTTTATTGCTTAAGAATTCGCGGAATATTAGGGCATTGCTTATAAGGTTAATCAAACCAACTAAGGTAAGCCAAAAGAATTCGCGTAATATTTAGGTGTGCTAAAAAATAAAACGTCATATTTAGATGTGCCAAAGAATTCTCGTAATATTTACAGGTGCTAAAGAATTCGTGTCCTATTTGGGTGAGCTAAAGAATTCGCTTGAAATATAGATGTGCTAAAGAATTCGTGTCATATTTAGAGGTGCTAAAGAATTCGCACCACATTTAGATGTGCTAAAGAATTCGCGTCATATTTAGGTGTACTAAAGAATTTCCGTGATATTAAGGTATGCTTAAGAATTCGCGGTATTTTAACCTCTGTGAGTGAATTACAAAGGTGAATCCGAATTATTTTTAATATTTATGTGAAACGAATAATCAGTTATCTATTTACTTATACGTGGAGGTCTCTAGTGGGAACCTTTTTCTACATATAGAATATGTTTTGGTACCACTTCAGACGCCCCCCATTACTCCCCTTGTTTTTCTGAGTTCTCAAGGGAATTTAAATATGTGAGCCCACCTCGAAGGCCGCGCGGCACTGGCATCGAAAGCCGTTGAAGGTGTTGTAGCAGGTTCCTCCGTTCTCGCAGGGTCCACTGGCACAGCTATTCGTCTCCAACTGGGTCTTCATCCGATCCACCTTGTTCTCCACTGCCCTCAGTCGGGTCTGGAAGCGACGCATTAGGGCCAAGGATCCGCGAGTTCTGTTCCAAGAGTTCCAAAGGATGAGAAATATGTAAATCTATCTTATTTTTATACTAAACTAGTTTAGCATGTTTTAAAATAAGCCAATGTCCTCGCATCCCAATATTCGTAACTGGAGCTTCTATATCCTCTGAGATCTGAATAGGTTGCTAACACTCTTTGCACTCACCTGTTCGTCTGCAGTCGCAGCGTGGCATCCAAGCCGTTGACCCCGAAGACCCTTCTCTTGAAATCAGCCATCTGATCTGCCAGCTCCCGCACATCCACGAAATCCTCGCCGGTGTTCCATTCATCCTTCGGGCCATTCGGCCGCTTCTTGCCGCCACCGGTGGCCATCAGGAGCTCCATCACATCGAACTCCTCGTTGATGGTAAGCCGCGAATTTCCGCTCAACCGAAAACTAATATTGCGATTCGCTCCCGACTCAAATATCAAATTGCCATCTTTGCTTATAATTTTTGGCCTAAAAATGGGCGGTGTTAATATTAAAATTTGTTCTAACATTTTTATATTTTCAAATCCTTACGAGTTGACAAAACCCTCGGCAAAAGGCCAAATATCCGTAATAATAAAGATGGCCAAACACAACAGGAGTCTGCTTCTCGCAGATCCTTTCATTTTGTCACTTTACCAAACAATTTCACCGAACAAAAATTAAAACATTTAATAATCACTATAAAAAAAAAAGATCCGTTCCGATGGAATATCAATGTTCGACTGTGCTGCTCCCCGGATTCTTGACATTTCAGATCAACTCTTGGTGGAGCGGTGGGCGTTTTTCATTTGGAAAACGCCCATTAAACCCATTCCCATTTGAAAAAAGATAAGCAGCATGGCTTTAAAATCGTACACACACATATATTTTTTTTTTGAGCAGATTTCTCAGCCGATTTGGGTTTGCTCTCGGTTTTCGGTGCTGGCTTAGGGCGCTAATAATATCTATTACAATAGCACATAAATTAGATCGTTTAGCTTAGGGTTAGTTCTTCTCAAAATGTAAAAACTACAGAGGAGTTATCCTGTTTTCGCTTTCCCATTGCAGATTTTTCTTTACAATTACTGGTGTGTGTGTGTGTGTGTTTTCAATAACATATATAGAACAGACTCTGTTTTTGTGAAGTGTGGGGTGTGTGCCCAAGGTGTTGTGACTTAAGTACAGGCTGTGCTCTACATAGATCTCTGCTCTCCGTGCCAAGTGCTGGTGTAAAGTCTAGATAAGTTTGCCGTGTAGGTTACAAAATGCACAAGAAATGTTCGATAACCAAATGACTTAACATTTGCTCTGAGGAACTATGGATCAGAGATCCTTAAATTCAAATTCAGCAAAATTAACTTATGCAAAACAGTTAGAAGAATGATCTAGAATGAGTCCAAAAATTAAACAATCATCAAATTAAAAAGTAATGGAAATATTTTCCTAAGTAATCAGAAATTTCTTATAAATTTACTTGAGATTGGGCAATTTTAGATGCTCTATAAAATAAATCTTCCTTGATCAATTAACGATTACAATTGGTTTTACAATACGTTTGCATTTAGTGTGCTTGGTGGTTGTTCAGTTTTGCTTGGTTAGTCGGTTAGTTAGTGGTGGTTATGATCGATTTCGATCGCAGTTCCATTGTTCTTTGTGGTCTTGGTGGCTAGGTGTTCAGTGAATGGGATCGGAGGAGAGCTTCATTGGCTGGGTCTGCTGTTATATCTTATACCTATGGCTTGCCATACAATTCTTTGTGGTTTCTCTTTTTTTGGCCATGGAAATATGGGAAATATTCATGCCTTGCCTGCCTCTACATAAGATACATACTTCTTTATATATGCTTTAATATTTAAGTGTATATATAACGTAAGTGTGTATAATAAGAATCACAAAGATGAAATGACTTGCGTTTAGAGTCCGAGTATAAATAATAACAAAGCTGGGCGCAATAAGATCCGGATCTCGGTGCTGTGAGCAATGTTGTTCACAAAACGAAACTATGGTAATAATAATAGAAATAATATTAATTACAATATATGGGGGGTGCCAGGACACGCGCTACACGATAAATAAATATTAAAAATATACACTCGACAGTTGAACTTTCTGCTTAGGTTGGTTTAGGTTTAGGTGTAGGTTCTTTTTCTCTTGGTTACTACTCCTCGCGTCTTCCAGAATCCTCCAAAAAAATCGGTGCTCCCTCTTCAGTTGGCGGGCGTTGTGACTGCCTTCGGTCGCCTTATGTGCTCCGATTTGTGATAGAGGAATTTATAGCTTGACTTTTGCTTTTCCGTGTGCTCAACAAAGGCATCTGTCAATTAAGAGGATTATATTATTATATATTATAATATTAATAAATAAATGTACCCACCAAAGGAGACATAGCCCAGGTTGTCCGTATCCAGCGCATAGAAGAGCGCCTGGGCTTTTTGTTCATTTAGCTTGCCGCCAGCATGTCTCATTAATCGCACAAAGCTTTCCCTGTCAATTTGCTGACTAGATTCGCTATACAGCTATTTTAAAAATATACATTAATTGTAATAAATTCAAGAGTTTTAATATATCATTATATTACATGGATCAGGGCCCGCAGGAAGGTCAAAAGATCGGAATTCTTCAGTTTGCAGAAGAGGGAGCAGAGCAGGAAGCTCTTCAAACTCACAGTGCCCATGCGGCGCTAAAAGAAAAGAAACGGAAGATACGAGTTAGAAAGAGGCAGGAAGTATGGAAGTATACGATCTAAAACTTACGTGATCAAGCAGGGCGAAGAGCTTGTGCAGATTGGTATTCTTCAGATCCACCTGGAGCAGCTCCCCAAACGTGATGATGTCCAGCCTGTCCGTGTTGGACAGCCGGAGGAAGCCCTTGCACAGCTCCGCGTCCCGCTGGCTCTCGATCAGGCCCAGCTTCTCGATCGTGCGCTCGATCTCCACGATGTCGCCGGGAAAGGGGATCTTCATGTCGCGGGCCCGACTCATCACGATAACGTCCTCGAAGGAATAGTCCGAGGTGGGTACTCCCAGGGCCCTAGAAAAAGTTCGGTAATTAGTAGGTATTGAAATAACCAAGTGATCTTAAAATTGTATTAACTTACAATTTAATTTTTTGCCTTAGAATAATATAGTGGCTAAATAAATAATTAAATAATAGGTATATTTACATCTTCTAAACATCTCTAAGGAGTTTTCTTATAAATCATATATTAAATATCATGTAATTGATCTCAAATTCTTTTCACTTTGCTTTCACCATGCCCTAAAAATTCTCTATATCAAGTATATATATTTATGCAATCTGTAAACCAGTTCAATATTTACTTTTCATAAAACTATAAACTAGAAAATTGCTACTATAAATAGGAATGGCAAAGGAAATGACCTATTTAATTTGAACAAATTGTATATTTGCAAATATTTCCATTTCTGAGAATCGAATGGGCTGCTGATCCACTTACTTGGCCATCACCTCGCGCACATTGTTGGCATACAGATTGGCATCGGCCACCTCGTCCTCCGACGGCGTGTAGACGGGCAGATACTCGATCTCGCAGCGGTTATAGAACTGCGTCATCGTCAGCCAGAGAAGTCGTAGCCTAAATTAAGTAGAAAATTGTAAATTACAAAAATATTCAATACGAGTATGATTTTATTAGGGAATTTTAATTCCAATATTAGATCATTTTTTTAAGGGGGTTAAATTGCTTCAAATGGAATCCTAAAACTAACGATAAATATTTTAAAGAAATATTCGAGTATTCAAATTTATAAATACATTTATTAAAATGTGCAAAATGAAGCAAATTAAGATTGATTTCATTGTATCGATTTTAATATACCAAATAGAATAAAATAAATAAATAAAAGTTATATACTAATATATAATATATTATAATATAGTAATATACTATTTTTTTACTTTTTCTGATGTTTTTAAAGTAAGATAAAGTAAGATAAATATCATAGATAGGTATATAATGAAATGAATAGTTTTTATTAGATCTTTGATAGATAGATTTGATTGAAAGTTGCCAGAAATTGAGTTCTTTGATTGGTACTACCTTAAATATTGGTTTTTTACAGCTTCCCTTAACTTTTTAAGATATATACTCTACTCACACTCCCGGTCCGTCCCAGGTCCAAGTGAAGGTGTCATACTTGTTCGGATACTTGAGGAGCACCGGCTGCACGGGCACTCCGGGATAGAATGCACCCGGCTTGAACTTGATCAGGGCGGTGCGATTGGTGCAGGTGCCCTCGGCGAAGATGACCACCTGTGGCCAGTCGTCCGTGGAGCGAGCCCGGTCCACAATGTCCCTGATGGTGTTCTGTCGCGAATTGGGATCCTCGCGCTGCACATAGATGGGCTGGGCATAGTTGATGATCCTCCCGAGCAGCGGAATGTCCGCCGTCTCCCGCTTGGCCACTATCGAGGGCGGGCCACTGGCCACGACCAGGATGGAGTCCACGTAGGAGGAGTGCGGCGCCACCACCAGAATGGGTGCCTCCTTCGGCGTCGCCGCTCGACCCTTCATGGTCACATAGTGGAACGAACCGAAGGTGTAGACCATGCGCATTCCGCAGGCCGTCATGCATTGCATTTGTCTAAAAAAGGTGTAAGAAAAAACATGATAATTAGCCAGAGATTTAAGAAGATATCATGTGATATTCGCACTTACTTCCGCCAGCCGGTGAGGGGTTTCTCCTTGAGATCATCCAGCGTCATTCCATAGAGTCCAATGCAGGCAAACATCCAGGCGGAGATCAGGGAGAGGACGCAGCCCACCACGCGGATGGGCAGCAGCAGCACTGTCAGCACATAGATCTGCAAAAAAATATGAAAAAATTTAATATAATAATAATTATAGAAAAAATAATATCTTAGATCTTTAATGAATTGAAATAGTTCTAGGGGAAGTTTTTTTTTTTATAAGGAGAGACCTTAAAAAAATTAAACATATGATCTTACAAAGCCCATTCTTTTCCCATTTCAAGTTTTATGATATTCATATACCCATCCCCAAACCTAAAAAAACACTTTGTTTAAAAAAAATGTAATTTCATTAAAAATCTTTTTAAAAATTATATACAAAAGTCAAAAAGTCTATTTTTTAGCATGATATATTTTAAGACCTGTAATATATCATTGATTAAAAAATTAAATTTCAATAATCCCTTTTTTAAAAATTCATATAAGACCATTTTTTGGCTTATTTGATATTTTAACCCATTTTTAAACCTGTACAAAAATGATTTATTTCTTTAAGATTCTTTTTGAAATTCTTGAAAATGACCAGAAAAACAACTTTGTAAAAAAAAAACAATTTCATTCAAAATCTTAAAAAACTTATATACAAATGTTAAAAAGACAATTTTCAAGCATGATTATATTTTAAGACCCGTAATATACTAAAATTTTAAAAAATAAAAATTCAATAATATATTTAAAATTGAAATATTGATATTGAAACCCATTTTTTAACCTGTAATATATCTTTATTCCAAAGATTAAATTTCTTTAATATTTTTTTTGAAATTCTTATATGACCTTTATTTTGTTTATTTGATTTTACGGCTTTTTATTGTACATTGAGCTAACAGATCATAGAAATATATATCTTAAAAGTGTCTTCCATCAGAGTTACAGAGTTCACTTTTAAGACGGACTATATTTACTATTCACCACTGTCAGCTTTTGATATGAGATTTGATATAAGATGGGGTTCCCAATTCTACAGCACCAACGATAGCCAGGCGCCCATGAGGCAGAATCCCCCGATGGTCGCATATGGTTGCATCCACTTCTCGCCGGTGAGGGCGCGATAGTACATGGAACCGCTGAAGAGCAGGGTGCCCGTGATCATTAGCGATCCGGTGAGGAAGGGATTGTGGGCCAGGGGCATGGCCATCAAAGCGAAGGAGTGCAGGAAGTGGATGCGATTGGCCACATCGGCGTAGGCCTGCGAGTCCAGCTGCTCCCGTACGCTGTCGAGATCCCGCAGGACGTACTTGCAGTAGGCGCCCATGAAGATGGCCGAGGCTCCGCCGATCCCCGCCAGCCGCACGAAATGATAATGGCATCCGGCGAGGCAGTACAGTGAGCTATGCGAACGCACAAAGGAATGCGAGGAGGGTTGGAAGATCAGGATGGCATCCTCGTAGGGACACTTCACCGTCCTATGATGCAAGCCGATGGTCTGCAGAAAGGCATTTGCCGATGAGATGATCAGCTGGCTGACGGGATTGCCCAGTATGAGATAGTCCAGCGTTTCGGCCATCGACATTTTGCTCCAATAATTTTTTTCCAATAATTTTGACGCCAAGCCAAAAATGTTTTTAATGTACAGTAGAACCTTAATAACACAAACACTGCTGTTCACCATCCGCTAGAAGTGCAAAAGCATCGTTGTCGACTGCAATCGATTTTTAAACTGCCTTTTTAACAGTCGAAAACATCGATTGTAGGGACTTTTTATTGGGTGACATTAGAAACAAAGAAGATACATGAAATATATATTAAATAGATGAATAACAACTCTTTATATCCCAAAAATCTATTTAGTATTTTTATTGACAAACAAAATTGTAAATTATCATAAAAATCAGACAGATTTTTATAAGAAAAAATATAATATATCATAATAATTCATGGAAGAAGTAGTAAATAAAAAGTCTATAGATAAGATTATTATTATTATTAATCCCTGTATCTCTACTTTCCCAACTTAAAAATTTTACTAAAAATTCAAAAGAATATTATATTGTCTTTTGGGGTGCATGAGCACTCAATCGAAACCTCGTTTTGCAATCGGACAAAATACGAAATACGAAACCGTAAGTTAATCACGTATCCCTTATCGGATAAGAGCCCAATCACATGACAATGTATTTGCATTAATTCAAAATATATAGACCCCACAAATCAATGGGTCGCCAAACATTTCCATGTTTACATTCGCCAACTGCCAATAAGCGGGCGTTAATCGCGTTGATAGCGATATATGGCGACTTATCACCTTCAGTCAAGTGGGGGCCCGTCGGGAACTGGGTGGTATATACTGTTCACTGAACTTTGGCTGTCGATCCGGCCCTCTTGATAAAAGCGGTTCCTGGAAACGGCATGGAAATCGACCGAAATGACCACCCGATGTCTGGAGAGCGGTCTATTAAAATAGAAAAGCTCTAGCGATAATCTATATAAGTAGTATTATACTATGGGATCAGAGTTTCATTTTTCACACATTCCAAAGATCCCTATTCTAATCTCTATTTATAAAAAAAAAACTCATTCAGATGCTTACGGTATGTGTATATTTAAATATACAGCCAAAAGCAAATTAGTAGGTCTATAAAATGTTATTTTATATAAAATATAAAAAAAATATTTATTTAAATATATATAAAATAATTATATTAACAAAAATTACAACATTTCTTTTTAATTATTTTCTTGACCGCTAGTGTTTATAGAGATATATGGCCAATGTTACTGCAGGCCAACTAAATGGGGAAGTATCAACAATGTCAGGGTCATTAAAGTGCCTTGAACTTTGCTCGGAAGCGAAATGAAAGCGAAACGGGTTTTTGTATTGTGCACGCAATGGAATCCCCCTTAAAAACCCCACTTTTTCGCCAGCTCTCAAGCTTTAAATTTATTCATATTATTTTAGTGGGTCAATGGCTCAATAATTGCAGTTGAGACAGTTGATCTTATATATGTATGTTTGTATTTAAATATACTTGACTGCAGTTATCAATTTTGTTTGTTGGTTTTGCAACCATTATCGTTTATTATTCAAGACTTTGAAACTTGACTCAGCGATAGCGCCACATGGGTGCGTCACTGAGATCGGTTATAGTACGATTTCAACTGATTATATAGTATTTGTTTACCTCGCGTGATCGTTGAGACAACTTACAAAATATGGGTTAATGGGAATATATAAAGATTCCGTTATGTAATATTAAATAAATAGTTTCAAGTACTATTTATTCTTAGGAAATCATTCTTAGGTTATTCTATATTATTTTTACGAAAATTTTTACCAGGAAAGGCGATTATTATTGTTTACCTAGTATAACTCAAATGCATTCTAGATAAAACTCATGGTTCCTAGTCATTTTTCAAATAAATCTCTATTTATTTATAGTACGTATTACAAACGTATTGTCGGAAAATGAAAATCCCTACAAATCCCGTAACCAATGGCCACAGCTCATTTGAAACACGCCATAAACGGTGATTGCAGTGAATCAGCCAGACAATTAATCATGAGTGAAAGAAAAGGTATAGGTTTGACTTTTAATTATAACTACATATCTCTTTAAATTGATATGAAATAATGTCGAAATGACAGAACAAATGATTTATTATTATTATGATAATGGGGTTAAAGATGATTTGAAATTTAGTTAAAATAATTTCAGAACAGAAGTACTTATATAGAAGTTCTAACATATTTTCAAGAATTCATTTTTTTTTATTATAAAATTTTTTTCCTGTGCATCTGTTAACCGAAATTAGACCATTTCCCGGGGCAAATCTGCACTGATCCGTAAACAAGCCGAAACACTTGTATTTGTTTTTGTTTATTGTTGGGTTATTGCCACTCGCGGCAATTAGCGTTAAGTGCAAATAGCGAGCTTTACCAAAATACAGGAATTACAGATGGGGTGGGCCGTAATTACAGGGTATACAAATGTATTAACAGCTGGCAAATTCTCCCATTAACCCACGTGCAAGAAACTAGAACCGTTTTGCTGATTATCGGGCGCTTTAAAAGCAATAAAACACCTGACGTTGCAGTGTCGGGTTAATTGGTGGGGTGATACTACATATTGGGGGGTTTCAGGGTGGTAAGCGTGGAACCAAAAGCCTTCTTATATGACAAAAGCGGGAACCGTAAAGAAATGAAGAAAAAAATGGACAAAGAAGTCATCAGACTGACCATAAAGATACCCGGTAATCTAGTAAAACCCATTTGGATTTCTTTCCCAGATTCAGACAACAAAAGTATTTTAGCGTATTTGTCATTACTTGGGGGTTGCGTCATTGGTAATTTACTTAACTTTATTTTTAGAATCAACAAGTGGGTATTATTAAATCAAAATAAATGAGTCAGTATATTGATGAACTAACATTCACAATGTTTGTATGGTAGTTTTGAAAACACAAGATGCGGCATTTATAATAATGCATTTTGCAAATTGCAATTGATTCGTTGTAAATGGCAATTGGCACGGTAAATGGCAGGTGTTCTAAGAGACTTCCATGGAAAGGCATGGTATTATGTGTATTCTATGGATTGTTTAATTTTAAGCTATTTTATAATTTATAGAGCTCTATGTATCAGGTTATTAGTTTAGGTTTGTCACAAAAGTTTTTATAATATCTTTTAAATGAGCATTATTCTGAACCCCTATGTATATTTTATAATAAGATAAGATCTTGAGGTCATTGACATTTTGAAAACGTATCTGTATGCACCCCTATTTCTTTTCTTGAGGCTTATGCAGATATAAGTCAGTTCCTTAGATCTTGGTATCTATGAGATACATTTAATTTTAGATATATCTGTATCTTTTTATCTCTCCTGCTTTATCTTTCAGATAAATCCCGCAATACTATACAGATTCCACTATATAACAATAACAAATGGAATTTATTGAGCCCCTATATCTTTTTATCCCAATATACCCGAAAATCTCTTTCGAGCACCCATTAAATGAAAACGGGAATAAAGCGGAACAAGACAACCATTGACCTGGTGAGTGCGAGCGAGAGGCAGGGATTTCAGCCGATGGCAACAGCAACAACAACAAGAACAAAAACCATAACAACAATAACGGCACACATGCCAAAAGAACCGGCGTCGCAGCAGCAAAAAGGCAACAAAACTTGGGGCGTAACAACAACAAAGAGAACAAGAAAATCATACGATTCTCGCTGCCGACAGCAAAAAAAGGCAAAAAAACGCTGACGTAGGCAGAGACGTCGACAGAGCCAGATAAAAAAAAGAATGAGAAGGAAGAAGCGGTTAAGAAAGAGGAAAAATAACAACAAACACAAGAACATTGACCAATGTAACGGCAAATGCATGTCAAGTGCAATGCGAAGGAGAGAGATGGGGCGAGAGAAAGTTCTGTTCTCTCCGCTCACCGCTCTCACTTCTCTCCAGTGGAGATCGCCAGGGGCGCGGATGTTAAGTGCAATTTGTAAGGGGTTTTAAAATTAAAATTTTAATTTGAAATTAAATTAATTACATTGAACGACTGTTATAAATATGTATACTTTTTTTAGGGGACCTAAAAGCATAACCCCCTTTTGGATGCGCGCCTGGAGATCGCACATGTGCCCGATTTGCATGAATGAAAGAGGGAGATGGAAGGCGGGAGGAGAAGAAACAGGGGCGGGGGAGGGGGTATCAGGGGGACTCACCTTGGCCACCTCAATGTGACTGTCGATTTCGATGCGATGGACAAACGGATTTATGTAGTTATACCCCTTGGAGGCCCATGTATCCTCCTCGGAGTCCCGTTTCGACAGGCTGGCGGCCACTCCCACATCGCCGACGCCGCCCATGCCGCCCACGCCGCCCTTCACCCCCGCCGGCGGCACTTCCTCGCCGCCCGTTGGCTTAATTGTCGACGTTGTCATTGCCCCCCGTTTTTCTTCTTTTTCTTCTCAATCACTTCTTTCTCTCACTTTAGTATCACACCACGCACTTCCACTCCCGCACAGCGGTTAAAAAAAAAATGATAAAATAATAATAATAATAACAATGGTGGTTCGATATTCACTGGTCACTCTCTCTCGACCGCCGCTTTTCGAGTGGTTTTCGCTTTTGAATTCCGCTTATTCGAATTTATTCGGTTTATATTCGCGTGCCAAGCGGTGCCATATATCCCATAGTATAGTTATTGGATTCCCTCGAACACAACACAACAACAAAATACGTTTTGCAAACTCGCACTGCGCAATTTGGCAACACTTTACGCGCCGCGTTGTGCAGCACTGCTTGGCCAGCCGATATATACCAAAAAAATACCAAAAGTAAATACTGGCTTCTTTTTCTGCTGATCCGGCAACTTTGTAGTTTGAAAAGATCGTTATAATAGGCTGCCTTTATTAAAAATAACCCAAATGACTGAGAATTATGCGTTTAAAAACATACGATTGATATAAACGAAATAGAAAACCCAAGGTATTCAAATTTCCAAAAGTTCTGGCAACACTGCCACGGAAGGCGCTAAAAATTCAAAACATTAGCGCCCCTTTGACCGTTTGACCGTTACCGTTTCACGTGCTTCCCAGACATCGCAGCATCGCGCCACCCAATAATTTGTATTTGTATTTTTATGGCACGAGTCGGCCTAATCTTAGTCTGGCAGCAGACCAGACCCGCAGTTCACGGCCCCGCCGTCTCATGTGTCCGAAACGTGTTTTGTTTTTTGCCCGACAAAAACCAAAAAAAAGAAAAAAACCGAAATCAAACTTTACGATCTTCATCGAAAACGTTTCCAAGGCAAGACACCTAGTTAGCAAACAAATGTCTAGGCTATACTATACTACTATTATGGCTTTATCAGCGACCCAACCAAACCGATCCGATCCAACCAGTTTTATTCCGTTGCGTCTTATGGTTAGTTTTTCGAGATAAAACGGGTTTTGGGTTTCGCCGATGTGATGATCACCTGCAATCTTATATGTAGTATTTCGGCGTCGTATTAACTGTTATACGCCTGCGCCGGTGACCTTGACGAAGTTTATTCGCCGCCCTTTACCCCGTGACCTTGCGCAACTCGATTCCGTTTGCCCGAAAGCGAAAGAAGCGCCGGATTGTGGGGAGAGTTTTACATAGTATCAGTAGTATCTATATAGTATAGTAGTTCTTCTGGTTGACCAAGCCCCCCTTTTCCGCCGCCCACCGCGTAATCAGCCAACCGCTGAATTCCAAGGCCGAAAGAGCGATTTTTAATGACTGGCCGCGCTTATTAATGGACTTCTTATACATATAAATAAATATTCATATGTATATTTAAGTTTTGCTATTTTTATTCGTCCAAATTGGTTAAACTAATATTGTTCCACACAATGAATTTAATAATAAATATAAAAAAAGTGGTTAGCTGGGAAAAATTAAACTACTTACCTTTCATTAATTTAACTATTTTTAAAGGCAGATTTAATGTTCTGTAAAATTAGTCAAAAGTTTAAAAATCTCTCTCTCTCTCTTTATTTATCATTTATTTTTCATACATTTTTTGCCTATTGCTCTGTATCTAAAATGAAATATTTTTTGACCTTGTTTGTTATTTTAAAAATAGTTTCTACGATTTTCGAATGTTTTAGGTTTTGATAATTATTTTTTTTATTTATTATAGTGTTATGTATGCGATTAAATGTGGCGAATATGTGTTTATTTTATTATACCGTTAAAAGTTTGTACATGTATTTTACTGATTTTGTTAGCTTTAAATCTGAAATTTTATATATTTGATATTTTAAACTATTTCGGACGTTTAAAATAAAAGTGTTCATGTGGATATTATTTAAAATAAATGTTTTGGATTTGTTTTAGTGTTACGTATACCATTAACATGTGCGTTTCTCTTGCTTTGTCTTTTTGTATTTTATTGACATTTTTCTGTGAATTTTCCCGGGAGATTTTGAACATTTTTTATGGGTTTTTTGTCGCTAATTTTGTTTCTATCCATTTTCCCCATTTAATATGTTTTTTTTTTCGTTGCCGCCGTTATTCTGTCAGATGAATTTTCCGGCTTTTGGCCGAGCGTCACGTGAAGTTATTTACAGTTGCCAAAAACGTATTATAATTAATGACTTTTGTTTATAAACGAAGGCCGGCGATTTTCACAAATTTTCCATGCGGTTTCGTTGGCTGCATTGACCCCTTCGAGTGAGAGCGAGATGGCGCAGAAGAGAGAGTGGGAGGGAGTGCAAAGAGCGAGAGAGAGTGCGAGTGGGCGACGTCATCATCATTGACGTCACAGTCGACACACAGAGAAAGAGCCAAGTATCATACGATAAAATGCTGTAAAAAATCGATTATTTTGTATATACAACAAAGGCGATGAGCAAGCGCACATGGGCGAACCCCCGAATACAAGCACAGAAACACCCACACATATGTGATATATATACATATACATGTGCCATGGGGCGAGCCCCCAAAACTGGATTCCCAAAAGCGTACTACAAACAAAAGCGAAAAAAAAACGAACGTCAGTATGACAGTTGAAGGTGACACAGGAGTCCCTGGCAATAGGACATGTATAACAGTTCTGTAATCCCCCACATTGGCTGACGAAATCGGTGGAATTCAAGGCGTGGTTGGTGGGCGGCGTATTCCCCCGACCCTTTCCCAAAAAAAAACCCAACTGGAACCAGTTGATTTTTTTGTTTTATTCCATCTGGTGCCTTTGTCAAAGGGGTTTTACTTCAAAGAACCTGTTATAAAGATCAGAAGCATGGTAAATTCCCGTTTTATCTAAAGTATCTAAAGGTTTTGAAGAACATCTATGGATCTTAACTGAGGAGAGAAAAAATCCATTCCTAGACAATTTCATCAGTATTCTTTTCTTTGGATAATATTAGGTTATATCATACAAATCAACTTATAAAAATTAGTGTAAGTGTCAAAATAAAACTAAAATTAATTAAAACTTTTTCTAAATTATTTGTTTTAACGAATTCACAAATGTATTAACTAATCATATATATGATTAATGATCTTTCACAGTTCATTCCATTTCAAATGATTGCTGCAGACCGTAAAACGTAAAATATTTGCAATTCAGCTTTTTTAATCACTAATGTTTAAATCGTAGATCTTTTCCTTGTTTCCGTTTCTAATATTTTTTCTGTATACATTTCGATCATTCACAAACACAGTTTGGCTGCACTTGAAATGATATTGCTCTGCTCAGCTGTCATCATTGCTCATTTATAAAGCGCTGACTCATCGTGCTAATGCACCTATTATGTGGCCTAATCATATCAATATACAAACCAGTACAGTAGAAACCCGTTTGGTTTTTTTTAGAATTTTTTTTAGAATTAAACACTTTGTTTATTCCTCAAGGGAACTGCAATCCGAATTTTATAGAAACAATCAATTCGATAGAGAGAATCTTCTGGGAACTTGGGAACTTTTCATAATATTGACCAGAAAAAGTAAAAATAAATATCGTTGAAATTATATATTTTAAAGATCACTGTGCTGAGACACGCCCCTCTTCGAGCCCCCTCCGAAGTGACTTGGCCCCTATTTCCTCTTCTTCAACCTGCTGCTAGCCTCTTTTTCCCCCACCCACCACCGCTCACCTATTTCGCATTTCAGCAAGGCAATTTCCGTAACTGCAGATAAGAAAAAGAAACAACTGGCAACCACTCCTTGTCTCGTTTGTCATTAATATAATCTAGTTGACTTTATATGTACAAAAGCACCTTTAAAAAGATTACTTTGAATTTGACAGGCCGTTTGCAACGCAATGTTGGGACCACTTTGAAGATATAATAACGCCTTTATAAGTACAAGATAAAATATTGTAATTATATTGAAGAAATAATAACTCAGATATCATTTTTTTAGTTTTAGATATTTTAAAGATTTATATCAAGAAGATTTCACAGGATAAAGTCAATATTGCATTAGTTACAGTTGTTGGTTTAGTATGGTGAAATAGTTTTCAATAAAATATTACTTAAAATTCAAGACATATTAATATTTCCAATAGTTAATTGAAGATATTATAGTTGTAATAGTGCTGTTTCTAAATTTAATCATATTGGATTTATTATATTTTATAGATTTTAATAGATAAGATCATTGAGAGTATTCGGCACTTTGGTGTTGAATATAGAAATTATTCTTTTTTTTCGTTCGATTGGCGATTGTGTGTTCCTGAGTAACGGAACGTGTAACCGAGCCAGATAAACAATTAATCATTTCTGTCGCCCCAGCCAACGCACACACACGCACGTAGACACACCTACGATTATTTATAAATATGTATATTTAAGTACGAGAGAGATGGGGGATCGTCTCTTCATAAAAAAAAACCTCTTGAAATCGTCAAAAGTCACTGAATTTTTAATGCACTTTGCACTTTGTGAGTTTTTGGCTTGTATTTTTGGAGCTTTATTACGCCAAACTGGCGTAAACAACTAATGGATTTTGTTATTGTGGCGAAATAATTTCGCAAGACACGTGCAGCACCTTGTGTGGGAGGGAGAGGGAGTGGGGAAACGCAAAGAGGCAGAGGGAGTTGTAGTGGTAGTAGTTGTTGTTGTTGCTTTGCCCCAGACGTCATCGCACTCTCGCCCCCTCTCATTCCATCTTTCTCACGGGGGGCGTGTGAGTGAATGGAAGATGTCTACAGCAGGGGAAAAGAAATTAGCAAGACAGTGACAAATAGTGGTTATTTAGGCTTACATTAAATATGTATTTAACCAATTATTTGCAATGAAGCATGTTTTTGAACTTTTCAAGTAGCAAATGACATTTTGATTGAAAAATTGATATTACTTAATAGCCATGACTTCCAGCTGCTATTCGTTGCCCCTCGAGTGTTGCTGTCTGGTCTTGTATAACAGTTATGAGGCCACATGCCAGCACACACGTTTGCAGACATGCCCACTTACATACATATGGGTTGTTCATACATTTGTATGAATGTATTTATGTACGTACTCTCACTTGTAGTTGGAAACGCTTTAGTTGTTGTTGCCGTAATTGCGGACGAGCCTCTTTGCAAAAAACAAAGCTGAAAAAAAAGCGAACGCAATGCAAAAACAAATACGCAGAAATGCAGTGACCAAAATGAAATTGCACATGAAATCTAGCTGCAAAAATATGAAAAACCCATGGGCAACAACAAAATTCCATTGAATGGAGAGCAAGAAATAGAAGAGCGAGAGAGGGAGGCGAACTTCAAACTGGGCGGCACGTACACATACAAAGGGGGCGGGGCGGGGAGACGAGCCCCACGGACACTGAAACAATACACATATATGTACATATGTATGCACATGTATTCGAGGATGTTGACGCGTCGCCAGAACTTGAGAATTCCAAGAAGCGGTAAAAGGGGGCGGAATGGATCGGGCGGGGGGAGGGGGAAGTGGCGGATAACAGCTAAGCAAACTCGCTCTCCCAAAATTCTAGGTAAACTGAACAAGCCGCTCTCTCTCGTCTCAGCTGGAACGGCACTGTTATACTAATACTAATGCCATAGGAGAGGCAGAGCTCAAAGAGAGTGGGAGAGCGGGTGGAAGGGGAAGAGGGGGAAGGGGGCGGACAGGGGGTTCAAGGAACGAAGCCAACACGCAGGCCAAAAAGCCAAAAACTGAATTTTATAGCGACTTGTAAATGCGCTACTTTTATCAAAAGGTTTTTATGAGTTTGTAAGAATAATTGCATATTTAATGGCAACCCACCTTCAAATATAAAATAAGAAATATAAAAGCTAAAATCGCACTTGAAACCGGATTAATAATTAAAATTGGTATTACGAGCATAGGAAAACCTTTATTTTAGTCCAAATATTTAGCTTAAAGTAGGCTTTGTTGAACGGGCCAACATGTCGTATGAGTAATGTACGTATACGACATGTTGATCATATAAATAAAACATTTGTTATGCAACGGCAAATTTTACTAGCAATAAATTTAATATATGTAAAGAAATTTATTACAAACTAAAATACACAAGTAAAAGTTGTGTAATTTAATTTGTTCATAATTAAATTTAAAATATAAATATTTATTCTCTTTGATAATAAAATTAAAGCACAAAAAACAAAAGTTGGTAAAAGATTTACCAAATTTGCGATGTTAATGCACCCCACAATTTGTAGGGTATACAACCAAATTGCTGACGACGACAAACGGCGGCTCTCTCATAAGCGGAAGCAAAAAGAGAGAGCTTCGCCGCCTAGCCCTTGTAGTTCCGCGTTTATGCGGTGGTAAATAACAGGATGTTAAGGGATTTGTAGAGGTTAAAAATCAATCAATTTTATGACCAATATGGAAAATACCAAAATTTAAATTTTTAATTAATCTTATTAATAATATCAAATAATTAACATGATGTCAAGGAATTCTAAGGGGATGTAAATAAATTAATTGTATGATTAAATATGTTAAATACCAACATTTACATTTTAAATTTATCATATTATTAATATCAAGTTTTTCGAAATTGTAAACGTAATCTTGAACTTTTACTTGTTTGTAAGAATGCAAATTCACGATAACGGTGCACCCGCATAAACGCGCGTTTAACACTGCTCTCGCTCTCTCTCCCCACTCTCCTCCGCCTCTCTGGCCCTCCACGGCCCATTGAGCATTTGTAGACCCCAAAGCGGCGTACATATACGCGCCATATCTCCAACCATCCCGCCCCAAAGCGATTTTCAGTTTTTGACCTTCAAGGTTCCTTCACGACGCGCAAAACGGGAGAGAGCGAGCGCCGGCGTCGACGTCGCCGTCGGCAGCGCGGCGGCAGCGGCAGCGAAAAGTGAGCGAACGGTCGGCGAGTGAATTCAATTCCGTAAAAAACGTTTCGAGCGGCGGACGCGTGCAGCGGACGAAAATAAAACACGGAGAGCGTAGAGAGCGTGTGTGGAAGCAGTAGAAAACTGAAAACTGAAAACTGAAAAGTTGAAAAACCCAAAAGACTCAAACGAAAAACAAACCCACTCGAGACCCACTGAAAATTGTTGAAAACAACGCGAGTGTCTGTAAAATAGCACCCCAATTTTTTTTTGCCGTGTAAGAGTGTAAGAGGAAGAGAATGGATCGGGAGCTGAACGGGGCGATGAGGAGCGTGTCCATAAATAGCGCCCAACAGAATGGTCACAATAACGGTGTAGCTAATGCTACCGCTGGCGTTGATGAAACGGACCGCGTGGGCGTGGCACCAGGAGGCGGCGGCGTACTGAGCAATGCGACAGCGACAAAATCGCTGGCAACCACAAATGTGGCTGGCAAACAACAACCCACAGAAACGCAAAAAAATTCAACTAAATTCCCGCAGAGCCCGCAGCAAATTGCACTCTTGTCCGCTGCCGAGAAAACAAAGATGGTGCACGAGTTATGTCAGCAGCTGCTATTGGCCGACGATCAGGTGCAGGAGCTGTGCTATCGCATCCTACACGAGCTGCGCCGCGGACTGGCTAAGGATACGCATCCCAAGGCGAATGTCAAGTGCTTCGTTACGTATGTCCAGGATCTGCCCAATGGCAATGAGCGCGGCAAGTTCCTGGCCCTCGATTTGGGTGGCACCAACTTCCGGGTGCTGCTCATCCATCTGCAGGAGAACAACGACTTCCAGATGGAGTCCCGCATCTATGCCATACCGCAGCACATCATGATCGGCAGTGGCACGCAGCTCTTCGATCACATAGCCGAGTGTTTGTCCAACTTTATGTCCGAGCATAATGTGTACAAGGAGCGACTGCCCCTGGGCTTCACCTTCTCCTTCCCCCTGCGCCAGTTGGGCTTGACCAAGGGTCTCCTGGAAACCTGGACCAAGGGGTTTAACTGTGCAGGAGTCGTGAACGAGGATGTGGTTCAGCTGCTGAAGGATGCCATTGCCAGGAGGGGCGACGTTCAGATCGATGTGTGCGCCATCCTGAACGACACCACGGGCACCCTGATGAGCTGCGCCTGGAAGAACCACAACTGCAAGATCGGCTTGATCGTGGGCACCGGAGCGAATGCCTGCTATATGGAGCGCGTGGAGGAGGCGGAACTCTTTGCCGCCGAGGATCCGCGCAAGAAGCATGTCCTCATCAACACCGAATGGGGTGCCTTTGGCGATAATGGAGCCCTGGACTTTGTACGCACCGAATTCGATCGGGATATCGATGTGCATAGCATCAATCCCGGCAAGCAGACCTTCGAGAAGATGATCTCGGGCATGTATATGGGTGAATTGGTTCGCCTTGTCCTGGTTAAGATGACCCAGGCGGGCATACTGTTTAACGGGCAGGATTCGGAGGTTTTGAACACCCGCGGCCTGTTCTTCACCAAGTATGTGAGCGAAATTGAGGCCGATGAGCCGGGTAACTTCACCAATTGCCGACTGGTGCTGGAGGAGCTGGGCCTGACCAATGCCACCGATTCGGATTGCGCCAATGTGCGCTACATCTGTGAATGCGTCTCGAAGCGGGCCGCCCATTTGGTGTCCGCCGGCATTGCCACGCTGATCAATAAAATGGATGAACCGACGGTGACGGTGGGCGTCGATGGGAGTGTGTATCGCTTCCATCCCAAGTTCCATAACCTGATGGTCGAGAAGATATCGCAGCTGATCAAGCCGGGCATCACCTTTGACCTCATGCTCTCCGAGGACGGTTCGGGTCGCGGAGCAGCGCTGGTGGCGGCCGTCGCCTGTCGCGAGGACATACTCAGTGGCAAGAGGAAGTAGGATCAGGATCAGGATCAGGAACTTCTGAAGCAGTCCTAGGAGCAACAATAACATCCACAACACAGACACGAAAAACACCTAGTAAACAACTAGTAAGAGCCTCGCCAACTCACAAGGGCCCAAAGATATACGACGGAAAAGAAAAGAAGCTGCCACAAAGTAAAAAAATCAAAAAAAAAAAATCTATCATATCTACAGGACATTTGTGAGTTGGCGCGGCTTGGCTTTAGTATTTTAATTAGGCGAAAAAACCAGGTTTTTAACAACTAAAACAGAAGCGTAACAGAGAAAACCAAACCAGCCCCCCCACTAAGAGACAGAAGATCTGTGGCATTCTATCTCTTTCTCTCCTAGTTAAAAACAAAAACTATGCTTAATGATCGATTTTCGATTTTTGTTGAAGATTTGTTATGCTATTATATACATATATATATATAAATTTTACAAAAAAAACTATAATAATGTATATGTTTGCGTATATATAGTACAATTTGTGAAGCGAATTTCTTTTCGATTGAAATTTGGTAATTTCCCCGCCCAAAACCCCCAATTTCCTTCCCCATCAAAAAAGCACCGACAAAAACGGAGATACTTAAGAGCAAGCGAGAGAAGAAACTGTTATACTACTGTGCTACAAGCATTCTAGCATATCCTGCAGGACAACGGAAAGAGAAACTGTAAACCGCACATTGTTAAAGCAAAAACGAAAGAAAAGCAACAAAAAACAAGCCGCTAAAGAAGAGACAGAAAGAGAGAGACAGAGAGAGAGAGAGGAATACTAGGTAATGCTACGGTGTCCTTTCTGTAATTGTAAATGTTTATATAGAACCTATTACGAAGCGTTATATGATAATACTGCATACATATATATTTACATATATATATATAAATATAAATATGATATATTTAGCCACTATATTACTGATTTTTTTTTGTAATGTATTGCTTGTCTTTGTTTAGTGAATTTGTTTGTTGTTAACACTTAAGCAGGTAAAAACTAAACAAAAAAACTGTTTTTTTTTTCTTTTGATATAGAAACGCACTTTGTGAGTTATTATTTATGTAATTGTACATTTGACCTAGTTTAGTGTTTAGTTCTTATCTTAGTTTCTAAATGTCGTCGAAGAAGCCCGCAATACAACCAATATATATCCCCTCCACCCCCCGAAAACCCAACCCACAGAGCCCTTAATTATATTTAACTATTGTTTACGAACAACAACGGAGGAAATGCGAGAAGCAAAAGGCAAATAAGCGAAATGAAAAGCAAATAAAATTTGTTCTTAATTCATACACAAGTAATTGTTATTTATTTCCAGTATGATTTGGTATTTAATGGTGTTTCCAGTATGATTTGGTATATTTTCGCTATGATTTGGTATTGATTTCGAAATGATTTGGTTCTCTTTTGGATATGTTTTGGTTTTGGTAAGGTTTCTCATCATTTTTGCAGCTGCTGGCCGGCATGCTCAGGCAAACAACAAACTTAACAACAATTCGCAATCAAGGCAAAAAACGAAGACACATTTTTTTGGTCTAATAATAAGCAGAGGAATCCTAAGAAATATGTTATAACGAATATAGGAAAAGCGAACCAGTGTTTCTATTTTTCAAAAAAAAAAACCAAAAACAGATTGTAAAATAAACTTAGCCCATGTTAAAAGATAAAAACCAATTAAAAAACTCTCGTTATCAAAAGGCGATTTAAACATAAATTACACAAAAAAACTACACACATAAACCACAAATCGAAGGCTTGGAGGAGATGAGATGAATTTAGTAAATGATATAAACAAATGGAATGTTTGTGAATGACAGTGAAACAAAAAATAAAAATGATTGAAGCAAACAAAATGCAAGAAAATCGAATGGAAAACGAAAGCGTGTTCTCTTGGGTCTAAATTTGCGGTATCTACTTATTTTATTTGAAATTTTATTGCCGCTGCATTTTTTTATTATTTATTATTGTTGCCGCAGACTAAAATTATACATCATCAGAGGCAATAACAATCAGTCAGCACTTTGCTAGCTCAATTTTGTTATTTATATTACTCGAACATACCCTGTATATAAAGTGGGCATATTGATTTCAGGTTTGAAACAGTAAGAAATATTTTTATAACAGATTTTACAACATCCTTAAGCGATATTAAAGGTATATTATAATATTGGGAAGTACGTAAACCCCCCTTTCGCATTACAGGGTATCTACATCGCTGCACTTGAGTCTTACGTAGTTTTCTGCTGCTTTTGTAGTCCATTTTAAATTGAATCATTTGCAGTTGAGTTTTCGTTTGACGCATTTGAATTACAAGTGGGTATCCAAAGGCAGACAAAAGGCTTGATTGAGCCATTGATCGTAAATGTATATAATATATAGGGAGGAGGTATAGGGGTGACTGATGAGGCGGTTAGGCAAACGTTCGATAGCAAAGTCTGGCTACATAAAAGTGAATTCGATCGGCATCGGAATCGGAGGAGCGGGGGAAAAAGTACCTATTTTCTATTATAAAACCTCACAGAGCTCGAGTTCCGCGAAAGTTGTTTATAGAATTTCAAATGAAAACGATTCTCGTGAAACCGCACGAAAGACAAAACGAGACGGCGATACACTGCAATAATCTCAGTCAAGTCGCGATCACGTTTTACTGCGGCACAAACCCAATTTAAATATCTCGAATGCAAATTTCAATTTACTTATAAATGCCGAAAGCAATTCCGACTTGCGGCTGGCGTCGGGAATCCCAAATTGGTGATACCCTTTGGGTATTAACCAGATCGAAAGTGAGATGTTTTCCAGGCAGACTATTGCACCGAGAAAAATTTGTAAATATATTATAATATTTTCTATATTTGTATTTAAAAAAAGAAATATTTTTATAGCTCCTAAAAAATCAAATCTTAAATATGTGAATCATTTATTTTAGTCAATTTAAGTACCTAACTATTTTTACCCCTATCTTTTAAGCCAATTGAAAAGCCCTTGAAATCCCACTGCAGTCGCCTTAACCCTTAACAGTGCTGCAACCCCACTTAGCCCCACTTAACACCTGATGCCCTTGATTGTCCCGCCTTCATCCCCATGGAGGCCAACTAGGTTATCCTTATCGCCCTCTCCATGCAATCACAGTGCAGCGTCAGTGATAAGGGGTTGAATTTTCTGGAAGCCCCGATTAAATAATTCCCACGTCCCATCAATAGTTTTCGTTTTAATTTCACTTGATTGTGCTTTCCAACTTCTTGCGAACCACGCTGCGTATGCGTAATTTAATACCATAAGGTAGTTTCTGTCACATTACAAATTCAATTAAAATTGCCTGAAAATAAGTTTAAGAAATACATTTTAAAAAATAATATAAAAATTAAATTCGCAGAAAAAAACAACACTTAAATCGATTCAACCTTTTATTTATATACATATAAAAGTTAGATCAAATACCTTCTGCCTCGAAGATCTTTCACCCCAGAAATATTTTCGATCCAAGTAAATAAGACGTGCAAAAGTTAAATAATTTATCAAAATATCGCGTATACGTCACCGTGTCCCCGAATCAGGTGGGCGTTGACCACGCCCCCGGCGAAAAGTAGCAGCCGCCTCCTACGTCAGTGGGAGGAGAAAAGATTTATCATTGGGCGATTGGCGAGTCAACAAAATTCTTTTCAACATTTTTAAGAGCCTCTGACAGCTCTTTTTGTTTTTGTCGAAATTTTCGCGTTAATTTTGCGGCAATTTTACAAAATATGCTTTGTATTTTTCGGTGCGCCTGAAATAGTTTCAGTGAGCTAGATAATCGAAAATTGAATACGCAATAATATAAAAGAGATATAGAGAAAAGGGGCCGGCAAAAGGTTGCAGAACTTGACGGCTGACAAATTTGCTCACTTGATCTGTAACTATCTCGTTGTCGTTCTCCTTTCCTCATTTTATAGCCCCCTCGCACCTTTTCGAGCTGGTTTTGTTGTTATGCAAATGCTAAAAAGCATTTCAAACGACAGCAAAATGCAATTTTCGAAAGTGTGAAATGGAAATGCAAAAACGAAAAGCGAGAAAAAAGGCAACAATCATGTGAGTGCCAAGCAACAACAATTGCGTCTTGTCTGTACACAATCATATTCAATATTTATTCTCGCCATGTTCTACGTTTGTTTTTTATTTTTATGATATTTTTCTATTTTTTTTTTTTGCAGTTTACAAGAGAACGATTGCTGAACAGTGCTGTACAAAGTTATTTGTCCTGATTCAAATTAAAATGTATTATATACAGTGTGACCTTACAGCCTCATGTAAATTTAGACAGAATTTTATTAGCATGGTCACACTGAGATTACAATATTTTCTTTGACTGCTTTTCCCACATATTTTAGTTGTTACTCGTGAATCAAGCTTTCACTAGCGGATATGGAATGCAAACTCAAGTCGAAATCTTAAAGCAGGTCGAAAGACTTAAACCAGTTTAGACAAATGCAATTCACATATAATCATGGCATCAACATCAAATGACAGGAAGGAGATCAGCGCCAATGGAAATGTTGGGGAGGTGAAAGGGGCTAGACAATTTTCCAGGAACCAACTACCCAGTTGCCAATTTAAATCGGAATTATTTTTAAAAAGTCGGGAAAAAAGTTGAAGTCATGAAAACTTGATTGTAACCACAAACATTTTGATTGCTCTCCCGAGTCTTGATACCGAAAAAGGGCTAATCAAATCTTTGTGATTAACATGAAATCGCTAAAAATAGGGTGATGTAACAAGGTTTTATGGATTCAGCAAAGTCATTTCTCGTTTCTGTACATTTGATAAAAGCTATTATCAAATTCAAGTTCTATTTCTGGTTTGACATTCTTTGACATTCTCTTTCTTTTCCTATAACCAGGGCCATATCTCAGATATCAAATCTTATCGTTCGGCAACCGTGATAAAACCTTTGATTTCGCACTCGGTAGCTTGGACTTGACAATTGCAATATTCTACGATTGCCAAGATATGGCGAATAAAGATTGCAAATAATCG